TGTATTTTATTATTATTTTAATATGATCCGTTATTTGTATATGATTATTATGGCTCGAATAATAAATGCATAAAATAATATGATTGTTATAACTCAACAACAATTATCATGTGGGTAGGCTGATGTGGTAGAAGTTCTTTAACATCAAGCGGACTCGCATAAACTCAAATAACAATATATTTATTTCGATAGGAAATCGTCATCACACCAAAAGTCAACAAAACTGGATACTCGTCAGAGTCGTCGTAGGCGTGAACAAACTTTAACAGCAGGTGTTATTGCTGAAATTTTCTACTCCAGTATAACTTTAATAATAATATAATATAGTTTCAAGTAAAACAATATTTTTGAAAACTGATACTTTTTTCAGAGTTCATGCGTTCTATAAAAGTATGTGGTATTTTAATATTTTATAATATAAATTGTTGTTGGAAATAATATGAAAATATGAACAACATCCAACAACGATTTTGTGCGTATTAATTGAATAGAAAAAACTAGTTTACAAAGTGTGTTTTTTCAATCAGATAGTTCAAAACAGTTAGGTTCACAAAAATATGAAAATTATTCTGTGGCAGTACTTATAATAATGTATAGTTGTTAAATAATAGTATATTAAACTGTTATCTGTGAGCAAAATTGCGTTAGCAGGTAAACCACGAAAAAATAAAGAATACAATCCGGATGATTCACCAAACATGCTGACCCCATTTTATCATTTAACAGAGCGTTCATTCGATTTTTTAATTTTGCTTTTTTTGAATACTGAAAAGTTACAACTCATATTTTTTAATTCATAGATATTTTATAGCATTTAAAAAGTGTCTTAGACTCCTAGGTATAAACTTATTTTTTTCAAATAAGAACCACTATTGTAAATTATTTTATGTTGATGCATATAAATCATAATTTGAATGAGTTATTAAACTTATTTAAACTTTTGGTACCATTGGGCACCTATAGCTTATGAGACATGAAGAAACCAATTTGTTTTGTTGGCCTCCAGATGCGTATGTTCCATACTGAAAAATACTATGAAAGACAGCTGGAGGTCATTGGTAAAATAAAATGCATATATATGAAAACAAAATTTGATATAGATAAAAAATTACTAATATATGTACTTACCTATGTAAGTGTTAAGCTATTGCTAATAAATATACAATTCTTGGTATCATAATATTTATTTTTAACATGTAATAATAAGTTGCAATTATAATAACTAATATACATTACCAAATACGTTTTAAATTCTATTAAATAATTAGTAAATAAGTTAATATTTACAATAAGTAAATTATTAAGTATTACTATCTACTAGATGGTAGATATATTTAAGTATAACAATATTAAGTTACGAATTGCAATGCTATATATTTTTTTTTTATTTACCTACCTAAAATATTTTAATATCCAAGGATGCTTGAGCACTTTTAGCATAATCTATAGGTAAACTCGACATTACCATAAAGTTAAAAATGAACTACCTTAGTCTGAATAATATTCTACACGGGTAATATCAAGTTTACCATTGAAGTGTCAACATTTATTCATAAGATATTTAGTTTTGTTTTTACTTTTTTAATCAATACAAAAATGGTTTAGAAATGAATCTACGAATATTTTTGTATTATAGTCGTTTCAGTTCCATAAACATTTATTATGATCAAACTCTTTATTTTTTACCATTGTTGTGTTGATGCGTGAAAGATTCTAATAGTAAAATATAAAGGTGTAATTATGTCACCCTTTTAATTATACACTCATTTTTACAACGATTCATTGTTGTCAAATGCATCGAAATATAACACGTTGAACATAACATGTGTTATGTTCCTTGTAATAACATACTAGGTTTAATATATTGTATTACATTTAATGTCTATACTGTTAAATATTCGTAATACTATTTTGTCGATAAAATAAAAAAGTTCACGTAGGCTGTTTTCTCCCCTTTTGAAAAATCGAGAAATCCTTGAGGGACCACCGCTTTTGATTCACCTCACTTCAGCGCAACAACGCATATTGCGCACTGATACTTAAACGTCAATGAACGATAATTGGTTCCTTTTTAGATTTAAAAATTAGAAGTTACGCACGGCTTTTCAAACAGTGGGCAATCGGTCAACTCTTACAATGGCTGAGGTTTACAGTTGTCGTCTTTATGTTTACATATATTTAAACGTGTAATACGTATATTCAAAAGTAAAACATATAACTATTAAGTGGTTTCATTCCCACTTCTATACCATAAATGGTCCCACTGGTATCAAGCTTTGCTGCAAAAGCTCGTCGATCTCCATCGTGAACGCGACGTCGACGTGTCCTACATTAACACCCTCCCTTGTGCCTAAATTGTTTTAGAACGATAGTAATATATTATCGACTTGAAGTGATCAACCATTAATGGGCTGTAATATTGTACTAACATAATAGTGGCAATAAGTCATATTCTACAGGTTTGCGATCGGTTTCCAGCAGGGGTCCCAGATTCTATACCAAATGCCGATCAGCATTCAGATGAATACTAATTGCGAGAATATCATGATGTTGGAAATAGACACACGCATAATATCGCATTAGTTATAACAAATTACTATGCTATTTATTTTGTATTGTAATACTGCAGGGATATCGAATGTTGTAACAAAATCAAAAATATTATAGTGTACGCTGCATAGTTTTTAGTTTTCTCCAAACAATTTTTAGGGCAACAAATCCATAGTACTATTTTCTGTTGGTGTTCATAATAAAAATATCTAATCGAATACAACATACAGGATAACAAAATACTAATTACATTTTTAACGTGTAGACTAATAGTAGTCATTACAAGTTGCGAATTGCAATAATATATTTATAAACCTATGTATAAATTCGACTAATACGAACATTTATTGTCCCCTTAATTGTAAACTTATCATTCACGCACAGTCTCTAAACTCGTCATGCCGTCATATCAGCGTAGACCGTGATGGCGTATACCAGGAGGGATATCGTGTCTATCTGGAGGCTTGACAAATATTCGTCATGGAATCTGTCAGCGACAAAAGTGTTGTCGTTTGAGAACACATTATGCTTATAGAGCCGGCGGCTACGAGTATAATTTTAACAAATTATGCAATAATACTTCGTTATTCCACGCTTTCTCCGTTCGCACAGCTGATAATATAATATTATTTTCAACAGTTTGTAAGATTGTATTGTTTTGAATCTCATCGGTAGTCCGTGTATAATTTTAAAACAACACCACTGCCCTTTGAGGCTTAACAGTACTATAATTTTACAATGACCAGAGATACGAAAATAATAGATAGCTATCTCACTATTTCTGCAGTTGAAGATATTCCTTATCGAATATAATTGAACGTTTACCAAATACGGTCTAATATAACAATTTTTTCACAAATATATTTGCAGGATATTACTATAAAGAATACAACTATAAGAGCGATAATAATAAATATTAAATTTACTCAATTAACTGTCCTGGAAATTAAATGTTCAAAATTTTTATTTTTATTCTCTAAATCATGAATTTTATATTCGTATCCTTAAAACTACGACTTGCATTTAAAATAAACATTCTTTTGTATTGCCAGTGCAGAACGCTTGCAAAATGATAAAATGACACATGATGAATTTCACCATAACGGGAACAAATTTTTGTCATTACCGAAACAATTATGTGACCCATAATTTCATTGAAATTTGATGGACAACGGGATATTAGCAGATGACTGTTATTTATTTATTTAATTTTTTTTTTTTTTTTTTTAATTGATCCTGAGCCCGGCAACTGTGGCCATTAGCTATTAGTAGGTACTGTAGGTTTTTTGTATTGATGGTTTTGTATGTTTTTTGGTACGGTAGGGGGGAACACGCGTGTGTGATTGTTTTGGCAGAATTTCGAATGGGGCACCCGTAGGTTTCTGCCATGCCCCGGGGGTGGGGGATGGCAGCACTTGCTCTCCGGTCACCGCGACTTGTCCGGAGAAAAATGCCGCCCGGTGGCCGAGGATCGAACCGCGACCGGCTGAGTCGCAGCGGAAGAGTCAGACCACTCGGTCACCTCGTCCCCCATTTATTTAATTGGTAGGGACTTTAAGTCCAATAATATAAATACATATTTAATGATGTATAAAAACATATCATCTAATGACTAGATTTAAATTTCTTTTAACTTCACTTAAATAATTCACAAATAAAATATCAACATTGCGCATATTAGCCTATTTTACAATAGGATAAATCGGAAAATTAGACATTATATTGATTGTTGCTACAGGCGAATAAAATAATTCTACACATCTTAAATTGCATAAAGAAATCTTAAATTAAATCATGGACTAAGGGCTATCAATCAAATTATTGAGTGATGTATCAATACTACACTTGAGTATTAACAATATTTTTTATGTAAACAATTTAAGTCCACTGTCTTTCTTCTTACTTCCAATGTAATTAAGATAAACAAATTAATTTATGACGTATACTGTGAATGAGGTTCTCAATATATTTGACAGTTCATGGAAACAAACAGTAGAAATATATTTTTAATTGAATTTATTTCTTTAATTAAACCTAATTGGCAAGGAGCCCAACGAGTGGAATTTTAATCCAAACAGGAACGAACCTGTGAATAGTATAATGATTTGAGAGCGAAGGGATTAGACGAGTCGTTGTAGCGTTACAAATACGTAAATGCATTTTAGTAGCTAAGGATCAGATATTTGAAGGTGCCTATCACCACAGCTACTTACACCTGCATCGACGAATTATGACAAAACTATATGGGACTGTAGTTGTATTGCAGTGTATGTACGTGATTCTAAAAATGTCGTTATTGGTTGCCACTTTGCAGATCCCAATAGTGACATTCGTTGTGGAAAAACTCTTTTAATAATGTGCAAATCGCGCGTCTGACGTTTATAATTATACTTCTCTTTTCAGCGGTTTGGCCATTGGTTTACTAATTGTTGTTTCTGTCCTGTATGTAGAACACTTGGTGCTGCAGTATTTGCCGGCGCAAACAACAAAGTACGTCGATATTGCAACCGGTGCTGACGCAAAACTCTACCGACAGCTTGTTGGACGTGCCCATAGCGGACACGCTACAGCGGCGACATTCGGACGTGAAAATTGGACGCAATTCCGGGAACGCCGGGTCCGGGAACGGATCACTGGGATCGGGATTGGCACCACCACGGTCACCCGAGCTCCGGCGGCACTCGGACGTGTCACCCGCCACACTGAAGGACATGGAAAAAGTAAACGTGCCTTTTAACCTTAAACCTAGTGATGATTAGTATAAGATACTTTACTTTTGAGACATTTCTAGGCAGGAGCTTAAAAAATTGAATAATTAATTGAAAATTACATCTTCACATAAGTGCACTTAAAAAAAAACTAATTTAAATCTGTGTATATGAATATGAAATTATTTTCTTACTAACGCCTTATCTCAGAAGTTACTGGACCGATTTCAGTTAATGTTATACCAATTGATTCTTTGAGACTTTGAGGTCATTTTTAGCTTCTTTTTTCAATCACTATAGATTGCTACAGGATGGCTCACACATGAATACGGTTTTGGCTCACGAAAATAAAATAATGTTTTGCTTATGTATATGGTTGTCATGAGGCATTGGTAATAGAAGTAAAGATTTAAAAATAAATTGGTATAGCTAGCTCACTACAATTGAAGACCTGTTTGTAAAACCGCAATTGAACATTTAACCCTTTTACGTTTGCGAAGACCTACGATCATACGGCTTAATCGATTTTAGAAACACTATGGGAGACGCACTAATTTTTTTTTTAATGGATATACGCGTAGGTATCGTATATCTGTCCTACTCACATTTCGTGTTTAGTTATTAAAGTCATCAATGGTCACTTAATTATTATTTTTTTTTATTGATTGTTTTCTTCCACGTTCATACAATTAAATTATTTATACGTTCTCTATGTCCCCACTAGTACCAGTCACAGCCCACAGGTATTGCATTCAAACAACAATCGATATCGGACTAGTTATTGTTGAACATAATACATACTGAAAGGTATAATATTAGAATATAAATATATATAAAATAAAGTACCTACTTTTCATTTAAATATATAACAGCTTTGATAACCGTGAAATATTAAAACATTTATGGTATACTAGCTGATCCCGTGCACTTCGTTGCCCGTTAAAAATGCCATCTCTACATAAGAGACTTGATTGTGATAATGCGAGCAATATATTACCAGTTAGACAATCTACTTGCGGTAAACGTTGTTTTTCCATATAAATTATTTCAAATGAATATTTTTGAAAAATAACTTAAAAATTCAAAAGTATTGTTAGTGTGTGGGGATGTTGTATACTGGCATGTGATTGAAAGATAAATGGAGCACTGTGAACGAAGACGGCCTATAAAAATAACAAAATAACCAAATATTCATTTTTTTTTCCTAGCCGCCTATAAAGTAAATTTGTAAAAATGTACGGGGTTCGTTTGGCATCGGTTAGGTTGCCCTCAATCCCACTTTGTGTTAAACTTGGCCTTTGATTTTGACTGTTGAATTAAACTGTTGATAATTTTCTTAAATGTCTCTTAAATGACACCTTAACCCCTTCGGTCACCACTGCTGTTGGAATTATGGGAGTGTAATAAGATTGTTAGCCCACGTTAAAATTTTAATTATAATAATATTATTTTTTAATTTTTATTTTTATATCAGCAATACTATTATACATTGATGGATAATTTTTAATTTGTTTTTTTACTATGACAACAAAAAATTTAAACAATACTGGCATTTCATTTTTCTAATAATGATTAGATTAATTAAACATTCATATTATAAGAAAAGCAGGTATTAAATAAATGATTGCTAATTAGTAAAATAAAATAAAATTGTACACACGCAGTTTTTTTGGTAACGCCAACAACGGAAAATGGAAAATGAATAATTAAAAAATAATAATCGAATAACCATATTTCATATAGATATAACCTAAACATTAATATCTCTACCATCGACTATTGCGTTCTATGCAAAGAGAATATTACGGCTATAAATAAAATCAAACGGAATAAAAACGATACGAAAATAATTATCACTTTACAAAATTCAAACTTTACTTTATATAGTAAAACATAATATTAATACCTAATATTCAATACACGACATATTTCTCCATGTTGATCAATTTTTTTTGTGTTTATCGGTGGCCCCATTTTAACGATTAATTATGCCATGTAGACAATTTTATAAGCTAAAGCTTTCAATTCAAAAAATCATTCCGGAACTCAAAAAATAAATCATCAAAAATATTTTTAAAAAAAGGGTTTTTCCAAAATTGTTTTCGTTAAAACCTTCTCTTTGCAATTACGAACAATTAAAAAAAAAATTGAGTCAAATCGGCCAGCCGTTCTCAATTAATGAATTGTTATACATTTTTGGCTCCATTTTTATACATATAGATTATATTACGAATTTAATAGGTCGCATATAATATGATGCTTACTCGGTAAATATTAATATCATCTATGTATATAAAACCGTACAGTCCGAGTCGTGATAAGTAGAAGGATGTTTAAGGACCAAACCGTATTTTTTAATCACTGCATAAATTGTTTTTTTTTTTTAAAATTATATTTAAAAACTTCGATAACGAATCTTAAAAGGTTCACCTCAGTCACCCAACCCGCGATTAAAAATTTAATAATATGCAATTCTGAGATAAGGTAATTGCATTATTTCGTTTAATTTGTTTTTGTTTTATCGTCTTGCATGTGAATCTACTATATTTGCTAAATTATTTTATTAAATTAATTTTTAATAAAAATATAAAAGGGACATATAAAAAAAAAAAACGTTCCATACGGGATTTTAAAACTCAAGCAGTCCGAGTTTTTCCTTTTACCATTTATGTAAATACATTTACAGCAGCTGCAATGTAAAACCAAAAAGGACCTTTTTATATATAAAAAAAATACTTTTAAAAATAAATCATGTTCTCATTTATATTATATTAAATATTTAAAATATGAGGCTTTTGTCAATTTAAAAATTATTACATTTTAAGTTCAAGTTCAATACTCTTAATTTAAAATCATAGCATATAAATATATAATAAACAGTGAACATAGTCATAACTCATAATTACTAAACATTCCTTTTCATTGAATACCAAATTTAAAAAGAATGAATTAATGGTAAAAAAAATTTGTTGGTGATATTTTAACATTTTCTTACAATGCTTACCAAATATTATTCTCTTGGCTTTAGAAATCAACGATCTTTAACCCAAATAAAATTGGTAAAAAATGTTATTTTCAAATGAGGAAATATTTTTATTACCATGCATGTTGTAATCTGCAGAATAAACTGATAGTAAATAAGTATACATTTCACTACATTAGATTTAAAAGGATCTATTCACAATGGGTCACGAGGAAAAAAAAATGTGTTCGACCAACGCGCTCGTTAAAATAATCGTGAGGATACAGGTTGCTTAAACCTAAATCATTGGAAAGAATATGGCCATGCTTGCGTTACGGTTGAATCGTTTATTAAGACGGGTCAGTTTTATATTTGAATTGATTTTTTCAACCCTTTCCTCGTCATGATGGATACTACAACGTGTCTTAGCTTTATTGATTTAATAATAAAAACCATTTTAACGAAATATAATAATATAAATATGAACTAAACAAGAACAACTGTTTCTGTAGTCACAGCTTTCATTTCTATTTTATTGACTGGTTATAGAATGTATTTTTTTTTATCTGAAATTACCTTTTCTTTTTCAAATGGTTGATTTTTACATTATGGTATTCAGATAGTTAAATATATATCAACATATTTGTATCTCATTATTAACTCATTGTTTTTTGTGTATTATTTATATTATTCTACCCTATTTGGAAACTAATAAAATTCCGACTTTTGAACTCATTCCTGATATAAAACATAAGAAAGGCAAAATGTATTTTAACACTATAAAAATATAAAATATCGGGTGAAATAACAGTGAACAAATCTCTGAAAAATTATCAAAATTATGTTTCAACCACAGAACCAGCAATCTGTGAAAATAGAACCTTCATATTATTTTAATACGTAATTCTTAATTTAAAAGAAATAATCAATATTTTGTCATTGAAAGAAAAAGAGAAAATGGATTTCATCTACAACAATGTATCAAAGAATTATCAATAATGATAAGAGATTAATTATTTTTTAAATTTTATCACCGGGCTTTAATATTATGATTGTCGGTAGGTTTGAAAGAATAGAAGTCAGAAATCAACCATAAAAAACGCTTTTTGTTTTTAAATCGATAAAAAGCATAACTTAAAAATGTGTGGTATACGTGGGTGGACACAAAACTCATTCCAAAATTGTGTCTCCATTATACTATATTTCAACTTTATACAAGATTATAAATTATATTTCAAGAGAATTTTGGCTACTGTATAAGTCAATCTGTATTATACTGCAATCCCATTTTTATTTTTTATAATAGAATTCCAATAATTATAATATATTACTACCCACCTTTATATTCAAATTTAATTTCAAATATTTTAATTGAATTGCTTAGTGCTTTTATGGGATCATATGAAAATATTAATTTTGAAAAATGTTTTAATTCAAATTGTTGTGAAAATTGCTTACCGACTTCTCTTTAATATACTTCAATTGATACAATGAAAGATTATGAGAATTTTTTATTTTAAAGTTTTTTTGGCCTAGTGAAATTGTTTTATCGACATCATAGAAAAACAACTTAAACAAAATCGAAAATCTCAAACGACTGTAAATACGAGTAGCTTAAAAAAAAATCAAGAACATTCGGAAAACAATTTCAAGTAACTGAGGTTATTCACTTTGTAATTGCAATGAAATAAGAAAACCGTTTGATGAGAAATATTTATTTCATGGCTTAATATCCAATGTCTAATGTCATAAACATTTATCTTCAAACTTTCATTTAAATTTAATGTGATAGTCCAGTAAACTCTTTTGTAAATTATAGATTGATAAACGTATTAAGAATCTGTATTGACTTTAGAAATCATAGGTATAGAAAAACATATTTTTATGATTTTTTAACTACGTACCAATACAAAGTAATTTGGATATGTTCACTTCAAAATTCTAACTTCAAACACCCATTACAAAAAATTAACATAATAGTGAGCATAATTTTAATTCCTTTACTAGTAACTTACGAGGATCCTTCTATTAATTTTTCAAGCTTTTTGACTGATAGAAACATTTTAATTTACAATTATTATAAAACAATTAAAAAAAAAATAACCATGTGTATTAAATACTAATATAAACTTTTGTTGAAAATTGCATATATCTATAGTTGTTAATTTTTGAGTTTCATCACAAAAAAAAATAGATTTTGTCGAAAACTGGTTTCACGTATAAATTCATGTTTTTCCATAATTTTTTTGTTGTTTTGTTAGGTTTTATAACATTTAAAAAAAATATATCTACCATAATTGTGTATCCATTATCCTTGGTATCACAAAAGTTCTTTAATATTCATAAAAAAATAACATAACTAAATATGGTGGACACTGTACGTTAGTTAAGCCAACCTTTTATTTTGTGGTCGATAAAAGTATATTCATAATGTACACGTGAAAAAACCATCAGTGGGCACATTAATTACCCAGTCGTTGTGATATAAATACAATATAGCTCAGAAAAAATAATGTACAGAGAAATCTGAGAATCGATTACTCAAAATAAATTGTTCTTTATAGCAAAAATCAATAAAAAAAAAAAAATATCTTATATCATCAACCATGCAAAATCATAATATTTTACTATACTATACATGCAAACAGATTCTGTACGGTTTTACATTATATTATTTAATATGGTACTAAGTAGGTAATTTTATTTTAACAATAATTAATGTATTCTGCGTGATATTTAATTTAAAATGTATACGTATTTAAACAATTATTCGTTTTCTTGACATCTAGAGATGAAAATAATAAATAACAATTTGAGACAATTAATTATAAAACAAACTTGTAAAAATGTTTAAAAAAAGACAGTATTTCTTAGCATAATTTTTATTTGAACTATTTTATAATAATTTAGAATGGTGACATTTATTTTAAATGTATTGCCCTCATCATTGTTTTCTTTCTAATTTCCTTAGAGTGTATGTATTATGTAATGACATTATACACTGTATTATTAATAGATTTTATTTTTTTAAATTGATTGTCTCAAAATGTTTATCATATTATGTTTTATGATTGTATATTATCTAGACCGACCTATATCATGTGTCATATTTTCCGGGTTATCTACTATGTACTCTGTTTTAAAACAAATAACGATAATTTACTAAATATAAAATAACCTATGACAGTTTAATACATGACATACTATATATTATGCACAGAAATTAACTTTTACGTATTGATATCGATATTTGCAGGCTGCAGCTGCATTGAAAGTAGGCGATAGGAGCCGTATCACGGACGACAAACTGTGGAACAGGGACACAGGACTCAGACAGAAACGAGGATCTGCCGGCGCAGTAGTTGGCCAAAGTACGAATCAAACGCAGCCCACAGTATTTCGGTTTGACACTCGCCGAGAATCAAAAATATCCATACCTGCCGGTAAAGTATAAATTTAGTTGCACATAGAGTATCATTAGGTTCAATGAGAGTTTAAACCAAACCATTTGTTCAAATAATAACAATAAACAAGCTTGACTCTGAAAACAAAATGAAAACACTTAAACAGGTTATGTGGCTAATCGTCACGCATTGATCATCTACCACTTCATTTTTTTATAGTGTATTTATTTAAATTACGACTTAATGAGGTTTATAAGTATATTTAAAGATCTTATATTCCTACCCTTACAAATATTTTATACCACAAGGGTTGTCCTGTGGTAATACAAATAAATTGATTTGTTTCAATTGTGAACTATAGTAAAACACCCTTTAATAATCCGTTAAAAAGATACACTTTTTTGAATATCTGATGCATCTAAAGTCGAACGATTACATTCCGAGTAGTTATGCGGTGTGCTTAGTAAAGATAATAGTCCACAACAATAGGCCAAGAAGATTTTAAAAGTGACTCAATTCAATTGTTAGGTATACGTATCACATACTATTAATTATATATCTTAAACTTTAAAACAGGGGCTCTAACTTGTAAATAATTTAAACTTAATTACTGAATAAAATACAATATTATTCTGTTATACGGCTAATATAAATGCCTGCAAATCGAGTAACTAGTCAATATTTAAATCAGTATCACACTTAAAGATGGGTTTCTTTAAAAAGTATTTGAATTATTTCACTATTTGAAGAAAAGGTAGATAGTTAATTTACCATAGGATATCGATATTATTATACAATAAAAAAATATGTAATAGCTACAACCATAAGAACATATTATACAATTGCCATTAGGAACGAAATACGGTACAAGATATACAAGTACAAGAGCTGGGGCAGAATTGAATGTTAATATTGTTGATATGTTTAACTATTTAAAGGTCCTTAGGCAAGTTAAACTTATATTATATTACCAATAATTAGCACGAATGTAGTTTCATTTTATAATTTCAACTTTAATTTATAAAAAAAAAAAATAGCCTAATTTAGTCCTACTCATGTCATAGTACCTCCGCTGGGAGGCCTCTAAATTCGGTCTAATCTGTCGTTATTTATTTTTATTTTATTTTTTATTTCAACTAATTCATCAATTATTCTTATTGTTCTATTTTATATTGTAACAGATTGAATAAAAAATCCTTTAATTACAAAAAAAAAAATTTATAAAATAAGTGGGGCATGTATTTACCTTACATAAATTATGATAGATATGTCACATGACTAAATTAAAATAATAGGTAGTGCTATAATAATTACTAATTTTTAAATTCAAATTATATATTTTACTAGGTAGGTGAACATTTTGTATATTCTTTCAAATTTCGCATTAATACCATTATAAAACGTTATAGGTGTACATATAATATAGGTACATGAGAAGTTGTATGAGCGATATTAGGATTAATAGACCGACAAAAACAAAACGGTATATTGAATAGATTTTGTGCTGAATTCTTGGTAAGGGCATAAAAGTTTCAGATCGTTGAGACATTCTCAAGAATGAACAAACATCGGATATGGTAGACTGAATAAGGTTGCTAAGCAATACAAGTTCCTATAGAAAACCGAATTTCTATTTGAATACTTTGTACCTTCATAGTTCATATTATAATCATGCCTGGATGATTTTTATATTTTAATTATTTTATTTTTTTATATTTAGATAAATGGTAATACTCTAATAGTTATTTAAGTCAAAACATAAACACCTAAATAATTCATTTTTCCTTTAACAAATTAATGGTTAATTTACATTTAGGTTGACTTAAGAATGGTTTATTGTATTTCAAAGAATGAATGATACAACATTAATTTGTTTAATGTATAGTTAGTTATAAGTTCAATTATTCGAATAATTCTGTATTAATATTAATATTATATAATCACTAAACGTCATAACTAATTTTTTTTTAAATTTTAATAAATCCATGGCAACAGTTGTGATCATTGAATGCAATTTACAAGCTTAAATTTCACACAGAAAATAGATATTATAGGAGTGTAATTATGTACAAAATGATAGTATAAATACTAGGTAGGAACCTACTTATTACTTGAATACTGCATGATACGATATGGATGTTTTTTTTTTTATCTTATTGAGTAGATCGAATGCGAAGATAAATTTTATTAAATTTGAAATAAGGTTTGGATCCAGGTTTATTGATGCACTGAACATTTCCGAATGGTTGTTAACTATTAATATTACGTTAAACAAAAGATAATTTTCATTTCAACACCACTCCCCCTACAACAAAGTACCAAACGGATCAAATTTGCTACCATAAACCACTCTCAAAGCTATACAATTTTAAAATTTTAACTTTCTTGAAATATGAAGACAGACACAAAGATAAAAAAACCATACATTATTGTAAAATTAGATTTTTTCTTAGATTGTTGTACTCAAAAGCTAAAAGTACATAATACATAATATCTTAAAATGGCTATGTTCTTTAAATTTTCAACAATTGAATATTGAACAATACGAACCTAGGTTTACTTATTAGCTTTTTGTACCGATATGTCAAAATTTCAAAAGCAAAATAACACATTATCTAATTTGTTTGTATATACTCTAAAGTATAATATTACATGTACACAAAAGTTGTATCGCTATCACTTCCCAAATTTCTGAAAAAAAAAAACAAAATGTATGGTAAATTGACGGTATACTTTTAGAAGATATTGAATTTCAATTTCAGCTATGTTATTTGAAACTCTGAACTATGATTATAATTTATTACCGATAAAATACAATTTTGTTTATAAAGGTACCTACTTCAATTGTCGTTAGTTTAAACTTTTAAATAAAACAAAAATGAATTTAAAAATATTTCAATTTTGTTTTTTACTAAACTTACTTTTACTACTACCTTACATTCTTTAATTGCATTGTTCAAGGTTATTAGTATCAGATTAGATGTTAGATAAAGAAATAATGTGCACTGTTAACTTTACTGTCGACTAACATTGTGCTGGTCTTCGAAGAAGATTGAAAGGTGAATGCTTGATGGTTTTAGGTCTCACCTCTATGATCGATGACGTATGGCTAAAAATTTAGTGCTTCCATCATAACCATTGTAAATATTTAGATAATATAGAATAAAGGAGACCGTTTTGTCCCGATGAAGTTAAGGTAGAAAGTGAAAGTATCGCATTGATTGGCCATCCTTATTATATCATGAATAATATTCACACCTGTCGCCTATTTATAGTGGATGCAATCATGAAAACCTACAAAATTCTGTCTCTGCTAATTTTTATTTAGATGAATATAAATTTAACACCTAACGGTATCAGTTATGACAGAGTTTAAAAACAATATTATCATAGTAATAATAATAATATAGGCTATTTTAAGAATTGTCAAGGATTTAATATTCTTCAAATACAGTATTTATGAATATTAATGTGTTGAGGTAGTATTCGATTACAATTTTGTTTCAATCAAAATGTATTTACAATAAGTTACATTTGTATAGTACCCACTAACATTAGACTCTAGAAGACGTTCACAATGATCTTTTATTGTTTTCTCTAGATCGCAAGATTTTAGTTATTTCACTAATTTGACATAATATCTAAAATATCAACAATTTTAATTTATGTGCATTTTATGAATTATGTGATTTAACATGTATATTTAGATGACAGCTTCTTCTTCTTCTTAACTTTAAGCACCATCAAAAATTAGGTTCTTGAAAATTACCCTTATTAGTTATTATCAAATGTATATTTTTTTTGTATTCAATATCTAAAATTTTAAATAATGTATTTATTATTATGTATTAATTCGTCACAACACATACATGGATCGAAATATCTACTTAAATCTCTACTGAATATTTTCCCTTACAGAGAACTATTAACGATGATATCTTTGAAATCGTGCCTTGAATATGCGTAACGTCTTATCGTTAGAACTTAGAATAGTTATTATCCTTTAAATAATGAAGTTTTAATATTATCTTCCGTCAAATCTCCTGCTGCCTCCGCGATGTTCATTGTAGTTTTCGTCACATATTTTAATTTGAAGATTTATTATTTCCACAGAAGTCTTAATATTGTAACACATAGGTATTTCATTTCAATATTCAATAATTTAAAAAATGGTTTTCGTTCTTGAAAACTGCAGTACTTATATTAATAAAATAATATTGTATCTACTTATACAAAATACATTAATTTCGCATACGAATCTTCTATAATAAGAAAAAAAAATGTTTATCTAAATTTTCTTTATATCCTCATATTTATATATAATATAGGTAGTACGCATATATTAATTGAGTCTGCAGGCCAATAACTCTTAAGAACTACAAAAAGTTTTTTTTTTATTAAACGTAACTGTTATGGATTTACCAGTCTTTCTTGTATTTGTGTTTAATACATGCCATTAGTTTGCTGGGTTAAACTAGAATATTGATTACAGTTATTTAGAATTCAGTTCAACTAGGTCAAATAAAATGTCCCGGAAATGCACAAAAAAAAGTTTTTTCATTGAATAGAATTATAACTTATTATGAACAATGTCTTGTGCGATATTGAAATTGAACCTGAAAAACATAAGCTACGTTCACCAAATTCTCAACAATACTAGACAATATGCGTATTATGGGCACATTTAATTTTTTACACTCTAGTATTCATCACGTTTATTAGACTTAACTTATGATAGTTTATATTTTTTATGTATAATGGTCCTAAACATTATTAAATATCTTCATTGAAGTACACAGGCTGAAATCTTGTATTTGCACCATGAATGATAATACGGTCGAAATGTTCAACCGGATTAGTTTACTTTTTCATTTCAGTCTTCTCTTACTTTTACTGGTTTTAAAAATGAACGTTTATCGTCACCAATAATAATATTTATAATAATGCTATGGTATCCGTGGTCTTCTTCGGGTCCCAATAACTTATTATAACACAGTATATTATGTTAATATTATGATGGGTGGTTTTAAACTAAGGCCTTGTTTGGTAAATACTCGGACACTGATACAATAATACTAGAGTCATTTGCAGTCATTGTCTTTGAGACACTATTTAGATACTATTGTGTCTGACACGTGAACCTGGCCAAATTCTGGTTAGTAAATAATATATACAGAGCCACACATATTCAGCGTGGCTTCTCACAACAAGTCTAAGGTTATTTTAGGTTTTCAACACTCGAATAATTGGCGTGCGTGGTCATATAGTAGTGGAGAGCAGTTTACAACCTCTATAATGTATAAACGTAGGTACCTTTTTCAACGAAGATAAGAGCTGGGTCAAAGTTTTTACTGTATTATTGCGTTTTATTTTTTGTTGCCCCTTCACAAATATATTATGTAGCTGCACAACGTATATTTGGGCGCGGTTCGAGTAGTTAATGCCCGTGTAATAATGATACTATGTTAAATGAAACTATAATATAATAACGGTAATAATTATGAAAACTAGCGGGTATGCGACGTGTTAATTAATCTTTTTATCGCAAATAATGAGATATGTATTATTACCGACTAAATAAATCAATATTTATTTTACATGTATCAGTGCGTACCTGAGACATTATTATTAGCACCCTCTGCTACGCTTGAACGAGTTATTTTTGGTCCATTGATCATATTATGATACTAAAATGTCTATTTTAAAAATATTTATTATTTCTTCATACTACCGATACAATATAGTCACAACTCTAGTAATTTGCGTTCTGATGAATCCTAGTGTATATCTAAAGTACATATTGTTTTAGTGTAATTTGAATAATATGCTAATCGTGCGAACGCGAGAACTTGAAAGATCACGGACTAATATGATTGTTAATACAAGCATCGGCTTTAATTAGATGCAAATGTTAGGAGATTATTTTATTGAATAATCAACATAAAAATTATTTATTCAACAAGTTGCCTTCTAAAAGGAATATAGTATCATATATTATGGCAGGGGATATAACACAATTATTGCGTGTCATTCGAAAACATGTCACTTGACCCATATGTCGTCACGCCTGCGGGCTCGATATTTTTATTCGGTTTTGTTAAGGGAAACGTTTTTGACCCTACTTTCAAAGTTTCTGAGTTCATCTGACAAACTCGTATCATCATCTATTAAATCGCAAATAAACAAAACTAAACATGAAATTTAGATCCAAAGTCACGGACTATCAATTAGACGAGTATTTTATTGCATGTTGGGTGCATAAGTTTTCCAAGAAGTTTAAAACTACAGTAAGTTATAGCTTATAAACGCATTGCATGCTTTCTTAATTTCCTATTAGATCTGTTTGAATAATGTGACTATTCAGGTTTGAATTCAGAAGAGTTTTCCATATCAACTATTGATAGTCCAACGATTTAAACGCTTTTTTCCCTCGACAACAAAATACTATCATGTGCAATATACAATATACATTCATATTAATATGATAAATGTATGTCACTGTATAAGTACGAATACTGGAGGAAACCTTCCTTTAACCTGCAAAACCTTTAATTTACATACTTATATTTTTTGGTAAATTGTAAGACATTTAAATTAATTCAGTTAAACATTGAAATAGTGTTGTATTTTGGGCTTGTGCAAATGATATATTGAAAATCTCAGGATAAAAATATATTATGGTTAAAATACAAACTATAAAAAAAATTGGATCAAAAACCAAATTTTAACTGCGTTTTTAATTGGGTACATTTTTTTATTCTATATTATTTATTATAAGAGAAGACAGTCTGACAGCCTGTATGAATAAGTATTTTGTATGGTATTATTGCCATTAAAGTAGTTAATTTAATTATAAAATATTAGTAACACAGTTGGTTGAATTAATTTTTGCCTAAAATTCTATTTGAAAACTCCATATTGCATGTATATAATATAACAATATATATTTTAAAGGTTTCAAATAGTTACGAATAGTATTTTTAAATTACAATAAAATAACTAAAATCGTATTCATTGTATAAATAAATATAATCTCATCCAAATGTTAACATAAAATATCTTTATCGAAAACTGTGTTTATATATTTTAGATTTTTTGGTTACAGCATGAATAACTGTAAGAAAATCTTTTTTAAATATTTAACTATTAATTTTTTTTTCACTTTAAATTTCGTGTAGTGATCATGAGATCATGAGCATAGTTTTATTACACATTTTTCGGCGTTGTAAACTCCGTAAACAAGTTTCACTTCAAAAATCGGAAGTTCGTATTATTAAGATTTTTGAACTACGATTAAAGTAAGATATATATAAAATTATATTACATTTTCAACGTTTTACCCTAAAGAAAAAATATTATTAACAGTTATAGAAAAAAACTAAAAAAGTTAATATGTTTTGAAAATTGTTTCATGAATAGAAAATGCAAATATAGACATTTGGTGAAAATTTCAAGTGTCTACAGTTATTCTTTTTGAACTTCAACAAAATAAGAAAATCGTTCGACAAGAAATTGTTAATTTGCGGTTGAATATCCAATGTAGTAAAACTTTGAACTTCAAACGACCACAAAAAATTAATGTGACTTTTTGGTAAACTTTTTTTGTTAAAGATAGAAAAACTTATAATACATTTCATGTTGCATTTTCAAATCTTTAAAACGAAAAGAACATTTTTTATGAATTCAACTTAAAATAATTTGCTAAATTCTATCTAAATTTCGTTCCAAATTTAAGCGCTCATAAAAAAAATGTAAATTTTCACATTTACTAGGAACTTGCACCATACAATGTCAAAGTTTTGTGACCGATGAATTTTTTTTATTGACAATAATTAAATATAAACTAATAAGAACCGTAAATCTTATCCCTATAAATTTCAAAATGAAACAAGATATTTTTTAAATTTATAGAAAATGAGTACATAAAAGCGCAGTGTAATTTTCATGTATGTACGATTATTTTGTTTTTTAGTTACATCAAAAGGTTTTGGTCACTGGCGTAAAATTTTCAGTTTTTCCTTAATTGTTTGGCTTTTATCGATTCTTACTTTAAAAATTACTGTAGTTTTTCCTAATTAACCTCTCAAATAGACCAACTGGATTCACTCGGGGATTTACTTTCTCACCAAACAATATACTGAAGTTGAAAATAACAGCATTATTTCGACTACTTTTCGTGTTCTAATGTATACATAAAAAAAAAAAAACACTTAGCATTGTAAAATTAATACATTAATCGCTCCGTTCAGAATATAAAACAATCTTATAATAACTGTTGAATACACACAAACCTTATAAAAACATGTTATTATAAAAATTCAGTTTCAATGTATGTCCATTACAATATTATAATACCTCGAATAATCAACATTTAATTTTTCTTTAAATTTTTTAGGATGTTTCAACTGGATATCTTCCCTAATCGTATTATTCATTTCATTCTTACTTGTCACCTATAAAACCTACTTATTATACTATGAACATGTATAGATTGTAGATGCCTTCAAATAAATAAAAAAAATTTAAATAAATTTAAACGTTTTAAGTCACCGGTAGTATTTATTATTTAAATTATATTATTTAATTTTTTTAATTATTTATATTTATTAATGAAATATAACAATATTAAATTAGAACAACTTTCAAATAGATATTTGTTTTACTTTCTTTGTATTTGATTTGGACATTATTTTAATAACTTAAAAAATTTACTTTAACCATAATAGATAGCTTATTCTAATTCAATTTCTCATTTCTAAACGCTTGAATAATAATCTCTACAACTAAAATCATTTGGTATATTATTTTATATATCCTAGAAATTAACGACAATTGGTAAAATTCCGTTTTTAGAACATAGGATTCACTAATATTTATATTGTTACTGTAACACAAATATAATATATTATACAATATTCATGATGGGATGAATTTTTGTTTCAAAAATTAAAATTATTATTTATTGCTCACACTTAGAACTTTGGGTTGGAAATTATTGTATTTAATGAAATTATATAAAAAAAACTTTCCTCCGTTGTTCGTATGCTTGTTGAAATTATTGTTAATGTTAAACAATAAATTCTCATTTATTTTTATCACCGAATAAAAAGTACAATATTTTAATTAAGTTTTTGAACCATGTTTTAGAACATTGTCTTAATTTTAATCAATACATAAACTAATAAAAACAGTTTCTCAATCTTCCATTTTAATAAGCATTTTATTTTAACCATACTATAGTCGTTAATTTTCGATATCTGTATGGTAGCACATAAATATTTGAAATGTAATATCTTATTCCTAATATTCATATATAATGTTGATCAAACCAAAACAATATAAAACATATTATAGTATATTTTACAACAAACAAATAAATAAATAATTAATTTAGTTAACATTACGGTTAGGTTATATCATTATAGTTTTATAAATGATTGATTGAGATGGTTGAATTTTAATGCTTGAAAACCACATATATATATAATAGATGATTCTACGGATGATCCTGACGACGCGGAAAATCGTTGGAGGAGAGGAGCACGGGGTGCTGTGCAAAGGGTAAGAAGAAAGTCCAGGGTGCAAAAACAGCATAGCTATGACGATGATATGAAGCCCGGCGTTGGGCAACAAGGAGGACAGGGTGTCACTTCGACTTTGACTGCTGAGGGACAAGGTAATGATTTTCGTGGTTAACCGTGTGATTGTTCTTCATTCTATTTCAACAATTCTTCAATTAAGTAAATATAGGAGTAATAAGGGATGGCATAATAAACATTTTTATTTTATTATCTCGGATGAATATTCCATATCCCGATTAACGAAATAATTATAACCAAATAGGAATGAGGTTTATACTCATATAATATGATTTATTGCTGGATCTGGTTGATATATAATATTATGTTATATTACAGTCATCGTAATAAAGATTTAACCCTCAACTTTTTTTTTTGTATATTTAAGGTTAAATTTATGTCAGAGAGTAATTTTTTTCTTGCAAAAAGTGTACTTAAAAAACCATTTCTGTGTTTTATTGTACAAACATTTATAAATAAAACAAAGATTTGTTTTTACATCTTATAATAATGGGATATAAATATTTAATGTGTATGCAAAAACAGTTAAATAGTACAAATTTTATAACAAAAGATCCAAAAATAATATACGAGTGGAAATTTCTATACAAAACAAAAGACATAATTTCAAAAAAATAATGTATATAATTAAGTTTAAACAGAATTCTTGATAAAAGTATAGGTACCTACTGTATGAAATATATTCCCGTGATATTCAAATAAAATTATCACTTACCATAAAGAGACCTTGAGAAAAACACCGAAATGATCTTTAACATAGGGGAATCGGGAATTTCACTAGGCACCATGGATGTTATTTTTGTGTTGTAGGTAATAATAAATTTAAAAGCAATGATAAATCACTGCATGCAAAAAGTGGTTTTGAGCTAATCTTGGTTAAGAGAGCATCAGATTGGATTAATTTAATTCATCAACAATTCTTTATAGTTATTACTCATGGTTGTGGACATTTTTAAATGAAATGACTTTCAAAAATTAATTAATAGAGCCCATTTCCGATCGATGTAGTGACATCTCATGGTTTAATTCAAGTCTGAAATGTACAATTTATTATTACAAGGTTTAAGAAATACTAGTCACTATGCAGGTCCATTATGTTATTTTTACCTTATACAATATGTACACTTTTATAAGTATATGCGAAATGATATTGTGTAATGTACATTTTGAAAATGTCGATTCTTGAGGTTTCATATACAATACTATATTATAATATGGTTATGTGTGTAATTTTATAATCTTACCCTAACTTTCATGTAAAATAATTGTTTTACTTATTAAGATATTATATTATTATAATAATGCTTCAAAGAACAATCGTTAAAAGGTTTAATCAATATTCTGTTCATGAATCTACGATATTTATTTTTTGTTTAATTATATTATTAAGTCTTTTAGTAATGTAAATTGTATGATTGAAGATTTAAAAGTTTGAATCTGTGGAAAAAGAAACATTTATTTGTAAATTCGTTCTCTTCCATCATAATAATATCGAAATACCTTTTTACACATTTTGCAATTGTACGGTACTAAATATTTTCATAAATTGTTTCAAAGCAGTCCCATTAAAACTATTAATCATTACTTCGACGAGAAATCAAAAGAAAAAAAAAACTAAAGAATAACTTTTACACCTTGACATTAGGATGCACGTCCATTGATGCGGCGTACCTTCACCAACTGATTAATAAATAAAAGTCGATCGTAAACATTTTGAAGCGTGAAAAGGATTTTAAGTTTTACATTTCAATGGGCTAGTGAGTCGCAAGTTGTAATTAACAATGCACTATATAATAATTAAACTTCGGGCCGTCCAGCGCGTTCATTTACTATCGCTATTTAATTGATAATTAAATATAGTGTGTTTCATTTAATAAATTAGGATGCTTAAAATAAATCATTATATTTTGTGCACATGACGTAGACTGAGAGAATAAAAACAATTTATCCGTTAATATTGCGCTGCGCATTTTGCCCTCCGACATTGTAAGATAAACTATTGTTATCAATTTGGGAATAATTAAAAAAAATATGACCTATATATTTTTAACTGCTAATTTCTATAGATATTTCATTTAATTCAAATTCAATGTGTTGTTTTCACGAATTTAAAAAGTATTTGGTAAATTACGTCATGATGGGTTTTATAGTGCCTTGTAAAATAAAAATATAACAGACCCGTTTGTGTCGGCTGTTATAATTACACACGTTTAAAACGGTTTCATGGGTGTGTATTATTATATAGACATTATATGAGTATTTTAATGCTTACCTCTAACCGTCAAACTATGATGACTATCTAAATATATTAAACAATATATTATGTTATAAGAATATTATTACAATGATTATTGAGGTTCAATCGATCGTTTTGTTCGCAGCTCAACTGCCGAGACGAGCATCAGCGTACGACGTTTATCAAAACCGCGTGGATCAGCAGCAGGGTTCGTCGCCGGCGAGTCGGAGGTCCAGTTTCCGGATACAGCAAGACGATGACGTAAGCAGTGGTGGCGGTGTGCAGCAAAAAGGTAAAAATATACCATTGTTACGACTTACGACCGGAACCTCGCGCGCGTGTACTTCCGGGTGTTATTATATCATTATAATTATGTATTTCGAACGGCCATTAAAGGCGAGTATTGTATAAACTGGAGTGGTGGAGGGTTGTATACCGCGTGATTATTGGAATTATGCAAATTAAGCAGATAATAAACCCCCATAACTTTTATCCGTCTAAAACACGCCAGACCCTTTTCACCATTGCTAATTTTATACCCCACCTCGCGAGGATTTCCAATGATATGTGTTATGTGTGATATGTGTAATATTATGCATTTTAGATATTGTGCAAACAATGACATTATTATATTCACCAAGAAAACATTTGCAAATTTATAATGGTTTTAAATCCTTGATGATATTTTGGCAAACTATAATACACGATTATACGTCAAGATTAAACTTTAAACATATTTAATACAATGTTCCATTTGTTTACAAATATAATATTATTATAATATACCTATTCGATAGGTCAATTAAGTCATAAACCATGCGCTAATATTGCTAGTAACTGATGATTTGTGATGTGATCTAAAATTATTAGAATTAGAGAGATATTTTTCAGTTATCTAGTAAATGTATTTTTTTACTGGGTAAATTGGGCCATTGTTTTTAAAATATAGGCTACATGTAAATTTTAAGATTCATTAACATTATCTGGTGGAAACCACAAACTAGAATAGCTTATTTTAAAATGGAAAAGAAGACGTTAGGCTGAGGAATCCAACAAATTGCAGTTCCAATGTATTTGATTATGATTTTTTAAATAAACAACAAAATTAGTTTTAACTTAACTAAGTTAAGTGCTATTGTATTGGCATCTAATACATATTTAATAGTATAGTTTATATTATATTTAAATTTATATTTATTTAAATACATTAATTAAGATAAACAAACATGATTATGTCACAGTTATAGCGATGATGTCTTAAACATTTTAGTACTAAAGGCAACGCAATCGAAATATACATACATTACAAATAATGTTTATAAGTGTAATTAAAAAAAATATATAATCCCAATTAAATATATTGAACTTTAATTTTTGGAAACAATGTAGGACTTACCTACTTACTAAAAGACGAAATAAAATACAGTAGTAAATTCGTATTTATTAATTATTTACTCACTCGTTGTAAACATTAGAAGAAGAATATAGTAAAGCCAAACAATTTCTCTTCCTAGAGGGCGTTGATTCGAATCCAATTTTTGATGTTATGGGCTCATATAGTGGGACTTTTATGACGATACGTGATTAAAATACTTGTAGATATATTATAAACATCATAATTACTTTACTTAATATCATACACAATAATATGATTTTACAGTGTGAAAATTATTATGTCATTGTACTACTTTTTTTTTTCAATTATGAATCGATAATATGGAATTTCGAAAAAAGGCGTCTTTCTCTATTTTTCACAGGTAATTATTTTATAACAATTTCAAAATGTTCAAGCACAAAGTGGCGCCAATAGCAAGATCAAATTTATTTGATATTTTTTATACCATTGTTATGAAAAAATGTTTAGTTATCATTACATATTATTATAACTAAAATAACATTGAAACAAGATTAAAAATATTTTTATAAATACTAATGTCAATAATATATCAATTGTTATTTATCATAATTTTACAAACAAAATTATATTATCATATTCGATAACAATCTTTAAAAAGTATGTAATTTATTGAAATATTGACACTACTGCTACTATATTGCATAACCATTACGCCGTGTTAAACCATGTACTTATTACATATTATATTCAATTACACTAAATTAGTACTCGTGTATTATCAATAGTAAGTAAATAATCAATAAATATAGTTTTTGAATTTGTTTATTATCAAACATCAGACAATAAATCAAAAGTTTTCCATCAAAAATTAATTTTACTAATATTTGTTGGTATATGTATTTAGTACATAATATTATTATTGTACACAGCTAGTATAATAGTTTTTTTTTAAATTTTTTTTTTTTAAACAATTTATATATTTTGTAGAATCTGAAAACATAAGAATTATGTCCTTTTTATCCTTTTAGCTTAATGTGAAACTTTAAAAAAATGTGGTTAATAAATATAATATAGTATATAATATTAATAAATAGGTAACATACGATTTTAATACAATCAACTTCGTCTTATAACCTTATCCCAAATTAATTTTACTGATGCTCTTACTATAAAAATTATTTTTACAACTAAGATACTTCTATAGAATATTTATTTATTCAATGATAACTTCAAGCTCTTTTAAACTCTTCAAAATCTCTTTGAGATTGCAAGAAGTATAATTTTATGGTTTAACCTAAAATTATTTTAAACGTGTTTTGAGTTATTCATTATTTTAAATCATAGAACCAAATTGTTCTAAAAGCAATTCTTGTAAACTCGATTAAAGTATTTAAATAAAATTGTTCAGGTACCTACCTTTATATATTTGCTTAATATTAAGTTTAATATTTTTTGGCATTTATACTTTAGAAATATTTGAACTCATATAAAATAAATATATAATAGCACAATACATTAATATAAATTGGCAGCCTTCACAAAAGCACTAGGTCCAGACCCAGACAACATTAAAACAATTCTAAAATACTTAAAATCAATCAATTTATTTAGACTTATATGATGCTGTACCAAAATATAAAACATGTAAACGCTTTTTTCTCTTTTTTTCTCATTCTTATTGATAAGTAAAGCCAATAATCTTTTTTGTTGTGCCTCATTTAAATAAAAAAAAAATTTTAAATATCTGTATATACATTTATGTATTCACAATGGTAAAAAAATGAATTATATTGTTTATACTCAAAATAATAACCATATTATATTTTGGACACTTTAGATATCTACCCTCAATCCTTATAATATCTTTTTAAAAATACTACAAATTTATTTAAAGTCTATAGGTATTTTATAACATTTTATTTTATTATTTTATAATTGCTGCCATATTGTCTCTTCATGATATTCTTCTTGTTATTATTTTATATTCAAATACACAAATTATGTAATGACTTATATAATATAATATTTGTGTAAACTAGCATGAAATTGATCAATATGTTTTTCGTTCATGAGATTTTAAGAACAGATTATCTACCAGTTACTTATAAGTTATAATATGTTCCTAATCGTGTTATTTTCCAAAAAAAGAGTCAATTATAAAAACAATACTGTTATATATGTATTATAGTGAACAGAGCTTTATATCAATAATAGAATGATCGAGGATCTTCTACTTTCTCAAAGAATATTGAAATAAATCAATTGAAACCATTGGTTTTATAAGTATTGAGACCATTTTAAACCAACAAGATAAAACGTGGAAAAAATATTAACTTTTTTGGTTGCAAGGACCTGCTCCGACGTACGGTTGATTAATATTTAATGGAAACCTTAAATCTATTAAATAAATACCATGTTAGCAATAATTATTGAATTCTATATCTACATAATATTAAAATTATATAAATGATTCACTAACAGACAGTTAAACTGAGTTGGATAACTTCTCCTGAAAATTAATTTATTTTAACAAAAATTATTACCATACGCAGAACAGTTTGATGAACAATATTTAGGTCGGTAGGGTCAAGCTAAATAAATAATAGCAAAAAATGACAGAAACACTGGGTATATTGTTATAATACACTTTACGGTTGATATTATATGTTTCACTAAAATATTGAAAACAATTCTAATGTACACCTATAAATAAAAACCATAAGTTTACGGTTAGGTAACAAGATACAAAAGAAAAATTGTGTGTATTCATTTTGCATTAAACCTAAAGACGGAATAATTTTGTCACCGTATATACCAATTGTGTCTAAGGCCTATTATAGATTAATATTGTAGAATAATAATAGTGAATGACAATTAATGATATAAAGTGTGATTATAATATGGACACTACAAAATTAAATATAATACGTAATATACAAAATAAATAAATTCAAATCAAAAAATTTGCATATAGGCTAATATTTGTTGTGGACTTAATTGGGCACAAATATTACGGTTAATAATATTGAAATCTAAAAGTTATGAAAATATAATAATATATACTTTCTTTAAAATCTGTCACCTACCTGTATGATATTATTACACTTATTAAACAGTGCCATATGATACGAAACAATAATTTAAATTACTATTTAGTGGTTTCATTTTTAATTAAAAAGTAATACTTTTTATAAAACCATGATTAATTTAATAAAACAAAATGTGATATTGCAATTATTTAATAATACTGTACAACGTTTAACTAGTAGATAGTCATATTATAAAGTACACAATGTGATATAATGTATAGTTTATTCTATGAAAACCAAATACATATTATAATCTATATTCAGGACTAGGTATTCAATTATAGCTGCATATTATATAAAAGGTATCGACTTAAAATTTTTAATTCATGTATTGCTTAATAATATAAAACGCACAATTTTGTTTTAAATTCTATTACACTATAATTTATTAAATTATTAATCGTATTTTTTCATGAAAAATATACAATTGAAAATTTGGTTTTTAATTTTTAGTATAATATGTAAACAAAAGTGTTTATTTTTCTATATAATAATATTTATGATAAAAAGACAATTTTGTAAAATTCATATAATCATCATTTTCATCATTAATAATATCATGGATATTATTATTACATACTAAGAATAACTATATTTTTTTATATTATATATAATATTTGGTTTAAATAAATTTAAAAAAATAATGCATTAGCAATTTCCAATTATTTTCAATCCGTATATGACAAGAGTATAATAAATTATATTATATGTATTTATGGAGTATTTTAGTTATAGAAATTAATAAATAATATAATACCTTAAAGATTAGTGTTAAAACAGTTTTCATTTATGGGTTGACAATATTGAACACATATTATTAGGTTAATAATATTGCTTTTTAAAAACTTTTTAATTGAAACTAAAAATAAAATGATTGTTAAAAGCTAAGGTTTCTTGTTTTTATGCAGCTATGTTTTCTCACATTATTTCAAAAAGCTAACAAATTGTTCATTATTTAAACAAAATTTAAATTTGTCTACAAATTTATTGTATATTAAATTTTCATTAAAAATTTTTTTCAAAATCTATATGGTAAACTTTCTGGTATCGTAAACGTATTTTACAAAATAAATGTAGGCTAGTGACAAAATATATAGCTTGTAAATACTTTTAGGAATTCAAACTTATTCATTCCGTTCTTTATAAATTACTTGGTTATTGTTAACTGGCAATGAAGCTTTTTACGTAGTATAATAATTTAATTTTAGAAATAAATTAAAAATATAACAGTTTAAGAACGTTTAAAATTAAAAATATTAAAACCCAAGTGCTTTTGAACGCAGTTGTGAAACATTGTTGTTCACAAAAATATAGTTCCACAAATTATGATAATATTTTGGTATAACTGTGGGACTTTGTATGTACAAGTACATAATGCACATATGGTTATGTTTATGTATAGTTGTGCATAAGTATGCACTCATATAATATAATATGTGCAAATATTTTTACATCAGTTGTGTAAATTTCGACAATGTTTGTTACAAATTGTGACTCTATATTAAATCGTATAAAGTTTTTCCTTCGATCATACAACATTTTGTTTCATCATTAAAAATAATATATTCCTGTGCATATTATTAATTGTCATTTAAGATCATCTAATTTGAATATGTTTTTGTATCTTTACATAGGTAAAAATATATATCATACTATAGTTGAAATATCATATGAAAATGACTTCGTTTAATATTTGTAGTACTTTTACAAGGTATCCTTTCATATATTTCATGAGATATTATTCAATTTAAAATCGAAGGTTGAAAATGTGTTACATTTTTAAATTTTGAATATATTTACGCGAAGAAATCATACAAAACAGCTGAATTTACTGTGCAATTTATATTAGAACATGATTTATAGTATACGTATTCATATTTATTCTTAAAATAATACAATTTTCCTATTATGTTCAGTTGGTTTTTAAAGTAATAAATAAAAATTGAATTTGATAACAGTGCTATATGCCAACCAAGTAGCCTACTAAAAACATCAATCCGCGTGAGAAAATATTCTATTTTTTATGAATTATTATGTTACTGAATACATTGTTTAAACTTTAAGCATATCTTTTTTAAAAAAAAGAAATATTTACTAATGTCTACTGACTGCTTATTTATACTTTATAAGTACTTATTTTAATAATTCATAATATGTACCTACAGATTTGTTTTAAAATATCTATATTGTTATAAACTATGATAACAATACGTCTTCACTCGTTAGTTAACTATTCAATTTGAATTAAAGTATACATTTAATTAAGTAATGAAAAAAAAAACGAGGATAAATAATCCATATAAACTTTCATTGTTCATAACTGAGTACTAATGGCCACAGCTGCTGACTTATTTCTTGATCAGAAAAAAATTTTTAATTAATTTAATTTAAGCTTCATGCCAATAATTTGTTTTCTCTGAGAGATTAGTTTTTAATTAAAATATTTTTAATTTTTTAACTAATTGTTGGAAAAATTATAATATTTTTGAAATTGTAAGGTAGTAAATAATAATATTACTATAAATCATTCTTATTTTACTTAAAAATGTAATATTATTTTCACCGTTGTATTACAATACAAAAATATATATTAAATTCTATTAGTTATAATATTTAACTAGACATTGTTATATGTAATACATTTTATTATAAACACGAATTTAACATTGACTATTCTGTGAATTGTAACATATCCAAATATTAATCTTTTTTTTGATTGAATTATTATACTTTTAACTTAATCGTTCAACAACAGATTCGAACTAGGTCTAATATAATATAGTAAACAGTGAAATTATATTGGAAATTAAAAAAAAGAAAAGAAACTCAACGTGTGTATAAAGATTATACAAATTGTACCTGTGTAAAATGTATTTGAAAACTGGTATTATTTACACAATATACTCAAGAATTCATACTTTCCACTAGGTCACGGAAAATGTATATCGTATCATGTGTCTTGGGTACATTCGCAGAACGGGAATTTCGAAATCATCGGCTCTGAAGCACCTCTTCGGAAAACATAATATTATAAAGTTTATACACACAATAATATAATGTATCTTTCGGTTTTCATCGAAAAGTATATACTTTTACTGTCGGTTCCTCGTTTATAAACGTCTATAATAGTCAATAGATACTCGCCCGTATATTAATGGAATCGGTAACGAGACTGCAATGAAATCGATTGCGTTTATGATACGTGCGTACTAACATCAATCTGTGCTGGGGGTTTCACGAGATGAATAACGTAAAAGCTTTTAAAACATTATCCGTTACAATGGGTATACTAATATTAAACTTTAATAACATACCATATTATTATTATTATCATCATCATCATCATCATCGTTATCGCATAGATTAATTATTTATGATTGATCTCGTCGTAGTAAATAAAATTCGCAAAAAAAGGAGTTTCATTCCTTACTACGTATCGTATCATATTATTGTATTATGTCATAATATATACTTCTAAACCTTCGATCATATTCTATATCATGAAAACAATTTTCAGCACGAAACAATCGTTTTCCGTTTGTGCGTTACACTACCAGTAAGGTAATAGTTGTGTAAGGCCGAGATTAAAAATAACTGCAGAACCATATTACTTTGTGTAACACAAAATGCTGAGTGTGCAGTATTCAATACAAAGTGAGCATTGACTGGAAGGTTATGGCAACTCGTTATTGTTGTAAATTTCTTTTTTTTAATTGTTTGTTGCATTTACACATTTTAATTTAATAACTGTACGAATTTTAATAGACTAAACTTATTATATATTTTTAAAAATCGTAATTAATTTATCTTTTAAATAATTTCAAACCATAAACCAATATTATTGTTGATCACTAACATATGACATCTGAATTTGATGTTACAGCTGCTATTAATCGTTAGACTGATGCAGTTTGGTTGGCGGTTGCATAGTATATAATTGTGTATTATCTAAGGGTTAAAGGAATGAGATAAAAATCTTGAGCAATAAAAAATGTGCAGGAAACAAAATATATACATTTTAGCCCATGGCTTAAGATGAAAAAAACGAACTAGTATTTCGATATAAAACTTGTTACAGCTATTATATAAATAAACAACAATGCATAGAAAGCAATTCTGTATGATACAAAGTAAACACAAAATCACTTTTGCATTCAGATGATGTTGTATATTTTACCCACGATTTACGTATTATAAAAAAATATATCACACTATATTTTCATTTCTAGATCAGTCGCAAAATCTGGGAATGAACAACGACGAGGAATGGAGGCCACGGAGACGTGGTTCGCAACTGTAAGTGGGACACTATCATAAAATTAATTTTTTTCTTATTGTCTTTGCGGTCTTATTACCGTTTGAATTCTTACTTAATGATGTTTGGCGGGTTTGGTCTTGTGACAGGCCAGACATCAGCAACTTACGGTCCGCCGCCGAGTCCAGAGGAAGTCGGAGCTCGTTTTCCAGCAGGGGTGGTGGAGACAGTCAACAACTGCAACAACAACAACCGCAACAGCCACAACAGCAGCCTCCACCCGTCATCCAAGAAACCGAGCAGAACGAAACTGTCCGCAGACAGCCGTCGGTAGCTGGCGAGGAGATCAAGATAGTCATACATGACGTGGATTTCGACCCCAACACTATGGGTAAGTCGTTTTGACATGTCGTTCGGGAAAACAGTTAGTTTATTGTTTTTGTGGCATTGTGTACACGGGGTGGGGATATGCACAATTGTGAAGGCGATTTATCTCATCTCTCTATTCGAATTTCTGTTATTATGGATAGGTACTATACATGGTTTTTTGTGCGCTATTGGTCTCGCTGTATTTGGTCGAGTAATTAGAACAATGCAAATTGTATTAATCATATTTAAATATAATCAACTAAGTGGATTTTAATAATTATAATCATAAAAAAATCTAAATATTGAGCAAATGTTTGTTAAATTTATCGGAGTTATTACTAATAATCTAGTTTCTTAATAATGTTACCGAATATGTTGCCAGTTTAGGTGCCATTCACATTAATTAACACAAAAATATTATTAGGCATCATAATAAAATTTGGTCCAATATTAACAATATTTGTCAATGTTAATTAACATTTCATCCACTATAATTAACTCATATTTTAGCATTTATTATGAGCAATATAGCATTTAGCGTAGTCAGGAAAATTCCCTATACAATAGTATTATGCAAAGTTCGGTACAACTGTTGATTTTATTTAGAAGTTTTTGCAAACTATAGATTATAATACTATACAAATAATAAGTAAATATATTTGATCATATTTGACGATAACTACTGTCTAAGCAATAGGTATAATACAATATAATATTTTTATTGAAGGCTGTTTTAATGAATTCTAATAAAGTAATAAATCATTAACTGTAGGTATTACACAAAATATAAATACCTATATAGCAATGTAGATGAGATGAATTAAAATTATTGTTATTTTGAAGAGAACATTTTAGTAATATTTCTCGACTTATTGTAAGTTATATGAAAGTTAGTTATTTCATTAACTGCGTAAAATGTATTTTTTAAAGTTACTTATATGTGTTCGCAATTCAATTAAATAATTTATTTTTACATAATACGAGTTATTGTATTCGGAAAATTATTTTTTTTAGTTTTATAGTCCATTATTATGAATGATATTAACTCGATAAATTATTTTTAAGGTCAATTTATTCAAATCTTTAATAAAATACACTTACGTTGAAAATTATTAACATCAATTTTGAATAAAATAATACGTTTTAATAGAAAAAAGTTACATAGTCACTATTGTTATGTTATATAAATAGAATCTATAAATGCATAACAATTATTCGTATGTATTGTATTTTATGTGTCTTATAATATTGATTGTTAAATAGGTCCTACAATTCCTCGGATTTCAATTCTCTCACAGGCCGTAATTTGAGTAACTAAATAACATTATACCATTTGATGAATATAATATAGAGTTAATACTATTAGCATATAATAATACCATAGTTGTAAAAATTTAAAAATATAATTAAAAAGTTAGAATGTGCTTCGTATTCAAATTTATTTGAAACATCTGAGTTGGTCTTCTGTCACTCCTTTATCTTAGATGTGAATATAAATAAGGTTTGCCTTCATCTGAGTACCCTTATTGTCTTTTAGTTTTTGAACTTGTTGACAACAATGCTTCAATATTTTTTGTTTTCATCAATGACTTCTTTGCAATTGGAAACTATGAGGCTTATTTCATTTCAGACTATACACGTCTCAGTAGGGTTAAAATGTGTAGCTAAAAATAATAATAAAAAAGTAGTAAAAATAAATGTTAATAATCCGTTGAATATTTATAAAATACATCGATTGTTTTTTTTTAAATGTCTGAATAGGCGTTGATAAGTGTTCAAACTTTAAATATTGGCATTGAATGAAATACGCATTTTTAGGACTCATGCTGGTCACAGTACTAGTGTATTGGTGATATAACATTATGATTATAATCATTTGGGTTATAGAAAACAAAACCTTGCGAGTGTAAAATATTATGGAATAGTAAAAATATGTTTCCTGCTAAAAACTAAAGGAAACATTCGAATAATTAACAGCTGGTATAGCATACATGCTTAATATCTATTATTTTGATCTAAGAAGACCTTTTAGTGCGTTTTTATTTTATTCAGCGATTTTCCCTTTAAATCTATTTTGATTATCAGTGAAACTTATTCTTCCAAAAACACAGTGAACACGTTTTAATAGTATAATCCATCATTTGCACACACAAGAACAACCAGTAACAACAGTATAATAATTATTGGTAAGTCTCGTGGACCGACAACGTACAACGTACATATTATTATATGACATAGTCTTGGTCGAATAATTTTGGATTCAGTTTGAAAGTTAGTTTTGATTTTGACGGAACATAGCGTTTTTCGAACTTTCGCTGCTTGATTCGTCACAAACGTGAAAACTGAAACCATATCTATTTTATTCGCTAACGTCGTGTCGCCGTGAATATGTATCAATCAAACGTGTCAAACCATTTGGCGTAAAGGTTAATTCTCCGGACGTATCTATTTCTAATATAGGCGGCTCGAGTACCCCGGAGTTGAGTACTTACTGTCCGTTTTCCTTGAACGGTAGATATTTGGCGTTGGCGGCCGGTTGCTATTTTCGATGCTTACGAACCTATCTCAACATGAACACTCGCAATAGTATCTTGATAAAACACTGATGGTATACCGTTCATCGCTGTATTGCTTTTACGTTTAATACCAAGTTGGATGTATTTCACCTCGATACTATCGCTACCAGGTTATTGGGTATCGAGGACATTGAGATACTCGATATTATTATACTTGGTAACACTTGATCCGGCGAGTAGGACAATTTTGTTATTTTATTCGTTTATTTTTATTTACAACATGGGGAGAAATGTGTTTAGCTATTTAATACAGGTCGAGGTCCAAGAAATCTGACACCACAGTGTCTTTTTAATCGACTTTAGGGATTTTCTGGGATGAATTCATAGACTAAGTTCGATATTAGTAGTTTTGTGTGGCTTACTGCTTTAATTTTGAATTTTTTGTAGTAATATTTAGGAGATTTTCTAGTAATAGAGGATGTTTTAATTTTCGAGATGTAAGAAGAAAGAAGAGTTGTACTACTTCTCAAGACTTCATTCTTCGCTTCATCGCTTTTTCATATAATTGTCCTAATACTGGTAATATAGTTATTAGTCTGTAGAAGGAAGATTTTTTTTTGTTTTTTTTTTTTTGTGTTAGATAGTATAAGGGTGATAATAGATGGTTTCCATATTAACGGGATGTAGGACAATCTCAAATATAAAATTATAAATCAATGTGAGAAGTATAATTGATTAGGAAGATGCTTAAGTATCTTGTTTGTTATTTGATCGTATCCTGTTGATTTTTGGCCCTTAAACTTTTGTAATAAATTTCTTATTTGGTTGGGAGATGTATGCTTGATAGGGACCTAACCTTCAAGAATGGCTAGAATTATTGTTGTTTACGAACATTTGTTTAAATCATGTTGTTTCATTGAAAAACATCATTTTTTATTTTTAAAAAAATCGTATAATCGGATAAAAACACGTCAGTCATCTTCATATTACAATAGAAATCGTATAACGATACCAGCATCGTTAAAACTTCCCCTTCACACAATTTTTTAGAACGGAAGTGCAACAAAATAATTTCACCTCTTTTTTATATTGTTCTTTATTATTAAAAGCTTACATGATGTATATTAACTAAATTTAGATGTGTAAATTTAAAATGTTTATCCTATATACATCAGATAGCATTTTACAGATTGCAGACATAAGAGAATTTTTTTTTTAATTTGATTTATGAATTACTGAGATGAAATAGGCTAATTTAAAACATCTTGGAGACGACCGTGATAATATCTCTGTCTCACGCTATACAATTTTCAAAATATGTTGTTATAGATATTATACCATTCCTATTTTATATAATATAAAAACACATAGCCCGATGCAGTTTATTTAAATGTATTCACTCATTGCTGCGTTCCCATGAGATGATAATAATAATATAATATTCTAAAATATATTGCGACGAACTCTGTTTTGAACAACTATTATAAGCGTACGTAAAATATTAATTAATATGAGTCAAATTATTGTTGTGCTCTGAGTGAGTGCTATATACACAAGCCCCCGTTATGTTGCGGGTGGTAGGTTCATACCTGTGGTTCCACATTATAGCATTTTCAGTCTAAAAATATGGGTTTTATGTAATCTTACACTGTTTTTATGTTTAAAAAAAAAACATCCACGCTGTACAAGTAATAATAATAAGAACATTAATTGTAGACGTAAAATATGGTTTTAATTTTATCTCAGATAAAAAGCCGCGATAGGGTGTCTTTTACATCTATCTAGTGCATAATATATAATAGAACTGACATTGTTTTCTGTATCTGCAAAAAAGGGAAATAATGTGAATCTCAGCTAGGTTATCATTTTACTATAATAATATTCCTTTTGTTGTTAAAATACGAATGCAAGACAATAATCACTGTGATTTCACGTGAGTACCATTTTTACATTTATTTTCAACATTGCTGTTTTTATGATAGCTGTCGCAAGTTTACATGTCAATTATACACTCATATTCAGTGGCTAAACAATACTACGACCAGATATTCAAAATTTTTGATACATTTTTTACACTCAGTGACAGAATTTAACTATGGGTGACTTATTTTAACAGCCCTAAAAGCATTTACTGGAAAAAGTCTTTTTTTTCTCTCATTTCGCATCAAATTGTTATTGTTATCCACTCTATTCCCTCAATGTATAATGAACAAAAGCATGTAGCCGTATGTAGGAAAACAAAATCGTTTATTGTCAGTGTTGGCCAATGTCTATATAAATGTCTACCTATATTTTATAAAATCCAAAATAAATTAGGTACCACACCCACAATTCAAAAATTGTTTATTTTAATTTTTTTAATAACTATATAACGTATACCAAACAATTTAATTAAAATCCAACCCCTCTCACACGCGGTTCATGACATTTGTAATTTATCCCTAAATTAAAGATTTCACATCTTACTCTAATTAGGTAGAAACCCCCCTTTATTTTTAGTGCGTATAAAATATAAAAATGTATAAGTCCTTTCACTCTCCCGAATGCAAGAAAAAATAAATGATCCCATTTTGATTTCAAATCCTAAATTGAATTCTCCCACTTCCCTCCTGCTGACCATACTACTATATTATATTGTCTAGTGAAGGTGCCATACTGTCGTACACTACATCACTTTATCAATTTATCAATTTATCGTTTTTGTTTTTATTGCGAAGCCTGGTTTGTGTTCAGAATTATTTATAATGCCTAGAGAACGTGATTATTTTATACACGTTCGGTGTTTTCTAATATTTTTTTTTCATCCAATTCCTAGACATTATACCAGGTCACTGCGGATTATTTACGTCACTGCGGGTAACAAAATATTTTAATACAAAAAACAAGTATGTGCTTTACACCATAGTTATTAACAATACGTATCTCTCTATATTTATTTATTTTGCATATTATACATCATAACTTAAACTATATTTATTTAAGTAAATATTTTCTGCATCTATAATTTTAATGGTACCAAAATAGTAGTAGAACCATTGATTACCTGTACTCAATGAGAGAAAATATTATTTTTTGTTGTTTGACTTATGCGATTCAAACTCGACCAAATTATCAATACAGTAATTTTCGTTGCTTATGGTATTATATTATTAACCACAAGGAAAAACTTTCTTGGACATTGAATTAATTGACAGTAGTATAAAAGTAAAGAATTTTTTTTCTTTCTAATTATACCCTGATACCCTGAATTGTAACTGTTTAATATGTGGTTTTGTTTTCGGTCAGTACTGTATTGAATTATTTAGATTCTACTCGTATATAGTATGACATGGTTTTTGAGGATAAAAGAATGATTGTTGTAATATATATATATATATTGTTGTACCTATATATGCATATGCGGATAGAATATTTCATACAAAGTATTATCTATCTATTAATATGAGGCAATTTAATCTAATTATTGTGATGAATTAAATATCTCTTGGGTATTCGGGAAACAAATTTAAACGTAATGCTGTTTTGGTTTTACTTTTTGTTATCTTTGATTTTTTCACCTCAATAAAAGACTTTGTCTTTTTTTACATTAATCGTCAATAATAAAAGCTTATCGCTTAAGCTCATTAAATTTAGTACTATATTACAAGAAGAATTAAAAATCAAAAATGAATGCAATCTGTTTGTTTATTTTGTTTAAGCATTCGATGTGTTAGTAGTTTAGTGTACAAAATGGTTTTCAACATATAAAACTGAAATGACAACATTGTCTTAAGTACTAGATATTACAATAAAATCATTGATTTTCTATTATTATAAAAGGAGTTATTTTATATTGGTAAAGGTCAAACACACATTATTATATTGTGACTTTTCTCTAGGTGTTCGTTCAGGATCCAAGCGTAAAGTAATATTGAAGCGTGACCTTACAGACAAAGCTCATCGAAGTAAGTATAATAAATCATATAAATGTTTTTAATACATAATTCGTTGCAAACAAATTCTAAATAATTTAAGACTGAAACATACTAATAAAAATGCAATTATTTCTAACGTTCAAATATTTGGTAAATAATTGGTAGTTGCATTATATTAGTATTAATACCTCTTTATTCTATACATATATTATAAACATTAACAGTTTTATTAAAATACTTGTTACAACTATAAATAGGTACTGAAAGCATTCAATATTTGAAGTAATTTAATTATCTGTTGACTGTTATTGACTGGATCGCAGAAATTGTAATAATATAATATATTTTTAAACCGCATAAAGTAGATATTTATAAATTATTGATTAAAACAAACCCATTACATATTATTTAAGATTTGTATAAAAGAGATGTGTCGTGTCTTAAAAAATATAAAAACTTAGAAAAATAAGATAAGAGACCAACACATAAAGCTTTAAAGTCTTAATATATGACATATATCTATCTAAGGTAGATGAGACTTTCGGGTTGAGACACCCTATATTTAATAGATTTTCGTTTTTTTTTTTTTTTATCTTTAAAGGATTTATGTCTAACTGCCATTTAGGATTGGAAAAAAATTGGTTTTAAAAAAAACTCTTAAGATGTAATCTTATAAGCTTAGCAACATTTTTTCTAAAAAGTGAAATGAAATGATAGGTAGCTTTACTGTGTTATTGGGTTAATATATTGGTGAACATTTTTTATTATAAGAATTAATACTGCATCATATTATTTATAAAACATTTTAAATTTTGAAGTAAGTAATGTATAATATATTTATATAATATGTTACAAACTTGTAACAAAATACGAATCTAACCTCAATAAATAAGAATCGTTTTCAATATTCTATAAAGAACTCTTCATTGATTTCAGTAAGTTTATTTTACCGAGGAATAAGAAAAACTAAATTATTTTACTATGTATCCATAAATATAAAAATATAGTTTTTTTTTATAGAAATCATTGTCGATAAACTATTTCTTAATACTATTTTATTTGTAAATATAATTTTTGATCACATACTAAATATTACAAATAATGATGAATTGATAAGTATAAAAATAAATTACGTAAATAAATTCTTACATAATTATATTATTAACATTTATAAATGTAGAGTGATTTTTTAGCATAAGGGAACTATAGTAAGTTATAGAATGTGTGTTTATTTTCATTATAAATATATTATAATTATTACGTTAAATGTAAGTGCTTTGACAAAACAATTTAATAATAATAATAATTCGCTTGTATCATACGAGTATAAAAAAAATAACTCGTAGCACTTATTGTGATATAATTTTAAATTTGTCGTTTTTCAATCTTTCACTTGATAGCAATAAACACATAGTTTAACAAACAATTTAAGTAGGTTATCTTATTGGATGTATATTATTGTGGAATACATTTTATGCTCTTCCAATTATCATGTACAATATTATTACCGACAGTCTATGAGAAATAGTTTTAAAACTATAAATGTGTCATCATTTTTTTTTTTTTTGCTTAAGGAATTATTCGAGTATACAATAGAAACAGTTTAACCTTAACACGAAATATACACTAATTATGCAGATTTCGACATCTTCGGGTGTATTTCGAAAAAATAAGATAACATTAAGCATACTAGTGACAAAAAGTACAAAAATGTCTCACTGAATAACTCCCTCAATTTGTTAGATTAGACAGTACGACGAGATTGCTAGTCGTTAAAACGGTGCCCCATTCACACTTTAAAGTTTTTTCTTCTCTTTTTAAGCTGTCAAAGATAACTCGTAATGACAATGTCTCGCGATCTTTTTTTTCTTTTCATCTCTTTAGCTCGAGGATTTGGGATGAGAGTCGTGGGAGGTAAGATCGGCCCGGATGGACAGATGTTCGCGTCGATTGTGTGGACCGTTCCGGGTGGCCCAGCAGAAAAATCTGGTCTACAGCAAGGCGATAAGGTACAAAATTCTAATCTTATTCTCGCGCGCCGCTATTGCCAATCGCTAAAACGAGTGGTTTATTTTTTTTTTTTTATCGTCCATAGGTCCTTGAGTGGGCTGGCATGCCGTTGGCCAATCGCAGTTTCGAGGAGGTGTGCGGTATCATAGACCGTTCAGGTGACGTGGTGGAGCTGTTAGTGGAACAAGGATACGAATTGTGAGTTTTTTTTTTTATTTACGTTCCAATCGGCATTTTTTACAATCACATATATCTACCTACTACCGGTATCTAGACATTTCTAATAACTCCAGTTTAAGAATTGCGACAATTAAAAAATATGCGTTATGTTTCTGACTAATAACGACTAATAAAATCATGTGTTGGAGGCAAACGTATAGGCACCTAATTATGAAGGGATGAAACAGTTTTAAAAATTCTACAGAAAACCGTTAAACATTTCGTTAGTGATGGTTATCAATTACCGTCACTATAGTATAAGCTATAGGTTACCGGTAAAGAGATAACCGCTTCCATAAATTGTCTTTTACTGGTTTTTTTTCTTGGTCATCAATAGCAGAGTGAATAATATGATAGGTTATTTAATTATTGATTTCCCAATACAGAATATGATCAGACAGTGGTGACTAATTATATCATTGATATTACGTCTATACATTATATTCTATAAGTAGGTACCTATAATTACCTATGCATACGGCATACCTATGTATAAACATAATTTATCAATTATTTCCATACACGGATAGAGTAGTAAGAACCACTAAAATTCAGAAATAGCATTTTTTATGGTTAAGTAATCATAATTTATTGATGCTGCCAAACGAAATTAAATTGATAATATTCATAAGTGATGGTAGTCCGTATTTACAAATATTAAGAATTGGCAAGACGTTTTATTTAGTTTATATTAGAAAAAGTATCGTCGTGATAAACTAAAGACTTCACTTCTCTTAGAATCTGAAATTAGTTATTGTGGCTACGACTTAAAACTTTCATAATATGATCGTTCTTAATGAAATACTATAACATTATTTTCTAAAGCCTGCACCAGAAACCTTACTATTACGGCGTACAATAAATTGTTTACCAAAAATGATAAGCAATCTTATGTTTGCAGAAGGATTTGCGATCTACTCGACGAGCCCGGACCAATGACGTCTAGAAAGAACTCTGGTGAAGCTATGGGTTTGCAACTAGGTTAGATTTTGTTGTTTTAAAATACGTATGCATTATTATAAATCCCCGTAAGTTTCTTTTTAAATTAGTGTAATTCAATCGAGTAACGAACGGTATATGGTATATAAATAGTAGGCACATATCCGATTCTTACCTATTGTACATTATTTCCATTATTGTGTCTTGTACATTATTTATTTCCTATACCGCGAAATATTTTTCCAGTCGCAAAATTACGATAATAAAAACACCGACATTATAGAGCAGCGGAGATGCCTTAATGAAATTGTAGTATTAGTATTTGTGGAACCGACGATGCAAAAGCGCAAAAACATTCCTGATTGCAGAATTTACGGACTTATAGTTTGCTTGTTACACCCACAGAAAAATTACGCCCTCACGCGATACCAGCTACGATGCTCGTCGCAATTCATTTATTCGTTTTATTCATAAGATTTAACTTTTAAGTTTTAGACTCAATATTCTGATTTTAAGTAATGTTTACCAAAAAAAAAGAAAGATATTAATAAATGGCGACCCAGAATATATTATAGGTTATAACTTATAACCAATTTTCGGTAAAAAATATACAATTTAATATTATAATATTATATACCCAAACATTAAATGTATACATAAGTACATAACACATTTAACAAAAACAAATCATATAAAGTTCATATAAAATTATTAGGTACTTATTATATTTATTATGTTGTTTATTTTAAAACTAATTTATTAACAAAAAAGAAAAAATCATTAAATCGACATTTCAGATGGTTCAGACTCTCCGGCGTCCCCGACGAGAAGAAAACTACCTAAGACTCCGGTATAGAATTTAAACATTTACGGTGTATGTACAGTATAGTAGTTTCGATCCTTCAGAAATGTTATTTAGTGAACAGCTCTTGTTTTTGGACATGAAAACGATACTAATAATAATAACAATAATCTCTATCAACATTCGAAATTGTAACATATCTATATAAACGGTGTTTTTTTTTTTTACTATTATTTATTTTAAAATCAATATATTATGTTGTACATTAAATCATATACTATTTATTAAATAGATTATATTATATATTATATATATAAATATATCCATAGGGCATTTAACGGACGATATGACGTATGATATTATTCCAATGTAATTATACAAGCGAGCAAATTTAACTAAAGGCAACCTTTCGAATAACTATAATAATCTAATATTGAGTAATACAGCCATCGTATCATATTATACAATACAATATTTATATTTCTGAAGGACGATGTTTTTTCCTGTATGTTGGTTTAAGTAGATAGTGCGTGCGTTTTGATTTGATATTATTATGATTTTATTTCGTTATTTTGGCGGTATTATTATTTATGTAAATAGGCCAGTTTATATCTATTATGTATAAGACAGTACTGATAACTGATATATATATATGTATTTATATAAATACATGCTATATACTATAACATTATACAGAGATAAAATAAATCAAATATGGCTACTTCTCAAAGGCTGTGCTACATCAGAACAATACTATCGAAACCCCTGAATTCTCCCGAAGTTTCTGTTGCTAGGGATGATATTTTATAAAATTTTATTATAATAATTACTCTTTTACTTGTACGTAAGACTGATTTTTTGGGTTTTCATTAGCTATAAAAATCATAGGCATATTAACCGATCCTGTTTAGTTAATATGTCTATAAATTATGATAAAATCTGTGGTCAATGTATTAACGATATATTAATAATCTTATTACATTATTACTTTAATGAAATGCACTATGTATTTCAAGTTAATATCGTAACAAAAAATATTTTCACTATGCAGATGGTTTAATAAGAAAATCTTCTGCTGATATCGATCATCTGAATAAATGTGGTAATAAATTATTATTAGATTTAGGTATCTACTATTAAAAAGATAATATATTATATGTCTGTTAAACAAGGGTAATTTATATTATATTCATTGAGTGTATTTGGTATATTATACTTTAACTTATTATAATTCTGCTTAAGTATATACATAATATATACATTAGCAATATACTATGTAAATATAAGTCCATTAGTAATATAAGGTTAGGTTAAGGAGAGAGAATCCGTCGACGGTAAATTTCAATCCAGAGAGATTCTGAAATACGGAGAATATTAATTTATATTATAATCCCGAGTATATTATGATGAAATATCATGTAGATTATCATTAATCGTAAAAAATTAAACGAGTAGGTAAATTACATACAACTAAATTGTATTCATAAAAACATAGGTACCTACAAGAGGAAGAGAGAGTCTATATTTTAGTGTTATGTATAGTGGAGCATAATGTATCATGTATGATATACCTATTTAAAAATACGTACATCATTACCATTATTCATCAATCAATTCATATTACACTTTGGTCACGGTTTTAATTTTTGAAAATATTTAATATAATCAGACATGTATACTAACAATATCCTTCATAAGAAAACTTAATTTCATTATGGGCAAATAAAAACAGTGCCGAATTCAGATAAATTATTTAATATATTATGTTATATATTTTTATTAAATACTATTTATACATCATATATACAATTTTAAGTCTTACATTAGGTATATTTACTTTAGACTTGCTAGCATAGAATTCAATGCATTAAACAAAAGAATCAAAAATAAATTTAAATATTTTACTTTTTATTTTATTTGTAGTGGTAATCAGAATCGCTTTGGAGTGCACTTTATCGGATTCACTTAATATTCAAAAAATTCTAATGAAACATTTCAATAAGATTTATTGCGAATAAATCAGTTTGTGATTTGCTTACCATAAAAATACTTTTTTACCCGCATCGTTGACTCCCTGACGGATTCCTCTTACTTAATTTGTTTATAGAGAATTGATTAATTTCATGATATTTTGTTTCTAAATAAAATACTCGATTAAATTTATATACATATTCATATATTCATCAATATTTTAAGACCTACTTACACCTATATAATCATATTATTCAGACTAATGTGGTTCTTAAAATATTTAAAATTATGTAAACGATATAATAATAGTTGAAAAATTACCTAGTTTAGATGATTAAAAATTATTGGTTTTGTCAAAAATTTAAATAATATAGGTAAATATAATAAATACATATTATTATTAACTATGATGAATGGTGGTATTTTTATTATCATTCCAAAAAAAAGTGAAATAACTATCAAGTGCCATGAATGGGATTCAACTATACTATTATATTAAAACTATAATATATTGAGTGATTGAAGTGCTGTAGTAAAAAATATAGCCTCAAGAAACACTAGTCTGCCATGTGAATGGACTTCTGCACGGTCAGCAACTCTCAAGAGGACAAGTGTCAGCTAGTGTCTGAAATAAATATACATAAATATGTATTTATACTATTTTTTTATATATGGCTAGGGTGATTTAATTTTAACAGTAAATACTCAAATACTCTTTATCTCAAAACGTGTTAAATTTTTTTATTAAACTCTTAATAATAATTTTCAATCCAGGAAAATCAATAATTTATAATATGTTCTAATATTATGTATATACCTACTCGCATTTTCTCACATATTATTATGTATATTATATTGTATGATTAGGTATTTGTTAGGTAATTAATTACAATACCTACTGGTTAGATATTACAATTTTTTTATGTGGAATATAAAAAGTAATAACGTAACCTAACCTGTGAAATATTGAAAGTATAAACGTATGTAGTCGTCCAAAAAAAGAGAAAAAATGAATATAATATAAAATTAATGTAAAAAGTTACTAAACAATATAATTTTAATTTAATTAAAAATTCTCATCCAGAAAAATGATTAAAAAAGGACAATCTTTTATGAGATAATTAGTATTAACTGTTATAATATTATATAAATCATACTGTATACAATATACAATACACAATATACAATAAACATATTATTATATTGTATATTTGTATGCACATAATGCATAATATACATATACAAAATCCTTTTAAAACAAAAAAATCAATTATTAAGTGGTCCTAAGGCCTTATATTATATATTATCTATACATATTACATATGTGTGTGTGCGTGTTTGTGTGTTTTATATACTTTTTTTTATGTATATACTATGTGACTATGTGAGTATGAGTACCTACCACCGTTATTGGACACACCAAGCTCATCCTTGAACATGTAAGTTTTTTTCCTTATTTTATACCTATATCGTCATTAACAACATATATTATTACATGATACATATTACATACTTATATATGTATATTTTTTTACATACTTCACTCGATACGAATATATTATTCACACCTTGCTTGTCACGCATCGAAGCAAATTATGACTAAAATTCTCGTAACCGTAGTTTACCACATTATATTAAACGGCGTTTTGTTGTTTTCTGTATACCAGCATATTTTGTTTGTTCTCGAGAATTCCGATACTGTCTATGAATTATCTTCACACGGATTCGAAAAGATTTCACGTTTTGTGATGAAATTGTTATGGCGGACGGACCAAGAATGCATTATTATAATTTTGTGTCCATTAAAATCGATATATTCACACATTTTAATGTTGACAGCATTGGTTTTGAATTCTTTTTACTACTCATAAACAGATATTATATATTATTTTATCACATGTTTTTAGAACCATTTATGAGAAAGATACGGCGAGTGCTTGGTATTAATTCGAAGGCGCACTCGTCATTATCATGGCGTTTCGCACGGAAATTCGTCATAAAATTAATATTTTAATTATAAAAAATATAATTGAACTTGGTCGCTTTGAAATTTATGTAACGATTATGACAATACGTTGTTACGCGCTATTGGCTATCAAACCGAACACAATATTTTCATCATTGTAATGCGATACTTAAAAATAAAAATTCGTTCGAAACGTTGAAAAACAAAAAAAAAATGATTCAATTTCATAATCCGACTTTTCCACAGAAATACGGCAATTCGCTTTTTAAATAATTGACTATAGTCATGGTTTGCTAAACTCCGTTATGCAACCATTCTTTGTACTATTTTTCAGCTTTTCGTCGTGTGCTTGACATGTAATGTATTTTTTTTCTCATATACATATAACTTATACATAAAACTTTTTTTTTCATCATCTTGCAGCTTGTTATTCAACTACCTACCTATTATTATTATTACTACTACGTATATTATTATTAAAACACAGACATTCACCCTTGTGATTGTTTTACACATATACCTACACGATTTAGTTTGGGTAAACATTATAGTATACTATATGATACGTTTACCTAATTATACAATTAGGCCTTGTCATTACACTTATATTATAATAATATATTGGTTTAAGATCAAAAATGTTTGTAACATAATCCCGTGTTGTGTTGTTGATTGTATCCACGCAATTGCAATTATTATTACTATCATTATTATTATTATTATTATTATTATTACTATCATTATTATTATTATTATTATTATTATTATCATTATTATTAATATTACGTACCTATCTTTCGAAATCATCGGAAGATTGTTTTATATTTTGTTTGTTTTTGATTTAATACATTACACGTAATCCATGTAACGCCCCACATAATATTATAATAGTGTCCACCGCATTCTTAACTTGAACCCCGACAGCCTTTGAATATACCCACTTTTTTTTTAGTCCTGTCCAAAGTAGGCATATGTTTTATACATATGTATCTACACATACAGCTGACTATATACTTGTAAATTTAATACATAGTTAAACTCATTTAGTTTATGGACTACCAGTTTTGTACTTACATATATTAACGTACGACCAATGCATATATTACGTTTACGTATGATCATAATTTTCGACTATCGTCAAGCTATTTGTAATTTTTGTTTTGTTTCTAGCTTTCAGCATGTGAGCTTCTTCATTTTGTTTTTTTATTTGGTATACATAGTCCTGTATTTAAAATTTTTATTAATTTAAAATAACAGTAATTAAAGTATCAATACACGAGAAGTAGAAAGATACCAATAGATACATATTATAATATATTTTATCGACTCCTTGTTATAGCGAGAATTTAGTATATTGTGATTTACAGTATAGCTAAGCAAAAATATATTTCATTTTTGAATTTGTTTGCATGAAACGATACATTACTTTGCCAACGTTTGATTAAAAAAAAAATGACACGCTCCGAATCAAACAATTTTTTTTTTCATCATAGTACGATATTATTGTCTTGCGGATTTTTATTTTTAATCAAACTGCTACCTTTATATTATTATTTTTATATTATAACCATTGCTATTCTATTTCAGTGCACGTAATCGAATCATACCTTTATAATAATCGTACATACAATTCTTAAAATTGTATTTATCACGTTTTCGTTTTTTAAATCTCTCGATTTTCTAGACGTCTGGCATGTCTCAGCCCATCCCCGAAGATTCCATTCGAGAAAGAAACATCATTGGTGGTATTCAGATGCAAGTCTGGTACAGGGACGGGAAAAACGAATTGTCCATATCTGTCTTGGCAGCCAACGGCTTGCAGATGAGAAACGACGCTGATTATGGTTCACTACCAGAAGCATATTTGCAGATAAAACTTCTTCCGTTCACGTAAATAATTATAATAGTATATTATAGTATCATAATTTCTTAAACGTTCCAACCGATAACCCCCAAACTGTGACTATAAATCGAGCGAACGAAAAACCACACAAAAACACATAATAAATTAAAACAATAAAATACAATCTACGCATTCGCCGGAAAACACTTAAATGTTAAAATCGATGCATATAGTTTTTATAGTCAGTATAATATATACATTACAAATATTGCCTGAAAATAAAAAAACATTGAGAAACTAAAAAACCAAAACTCTATCGTCTAACTAGTGTTTTTTTTCTTAACTGATAGATGGAAAAGGTAAAGATGCTATATCAAATATTTAAAATTAAAGGAAAATAATATAAATATAAATACTTTAATTATTACTTATAAAACAACTATAATATTATGAAAATCAAAAACCTATTTTTATTAGAATTGTAAATGCCTATAGGGAGTTGAATAAAACCATCCATCAAATTTCAATAAAAAACTAATTTAAAAATTAAATTTATGTAAAAGTGCTTTTTCAATATTTGAAACCATTAAAATATAAATATACTCTCAGCGTTATAACTTATAATACTCGTATTATGTGTTAAAAGTTTGAAAACACGCAAATGATTTTGATGAAAAATAATATTTTTACTTGGTATTTTTTATACATGAACATTTTATATTATTATTGTATGCAATAAAATATGTGTATTAATTATATATTTAGGTGTGTGTATACAGGTACGAATACTGAATTATTATTTTCGTTTAATTACATTAATTTTTACACTTTTGCTTTTCCCTACTTTTCACATTTTATAGTACATTCATACAATCGTGTATAATAGTTTTGCAGGTCGCTTTCTAATAAGTTAATTATATTTAAAAAGAAAAGTTTCAAAGCTCTTAAGCCTCCTTTTTGATAATCTCAATATAATTGTAATAATTTTTAATTTGTATAATAAATACAACTTAAAATTAATATTTAAATTAAGGAAGAATTTTTGAATATTTAATAATTATATTATTTACAACTAATACAATAGGTACAACAAGATCGCTGTATCACTATTTACAATACTACTAGATATTTTCGTGTACCTGCCTACTAAATTTTGGAATTTGAAATTATCGCAAATTTTACCTTTACTTAATAAACCTTTTCAACTTGTGATTTCATAATTCTCAAACTAATTTAACTGTAAAAATAATTAAAAACTACCTTTGAATTTTCAGGAAAAAAAAATTATTATATGGGTTTGTATATTTCTTTTCACTTTGTTTTTTAATATTTTAATTTTCCTTAATCATTTTTTTAAAGATCCAGTATAATTTCGAATGAAGTACAAAATAATTTTGTGGATATTTAAATTATGAGATTCCTTAAGAATTCATAATACAATACAATAACCCTGCAACGTGCATTCAATAATCGGAAGTGTGCTTTCATTACTTTAGTTATTACTTACATTAGTTAATTAATCAATTTAATATTTCTTCTTATCATTTTGTTTACCATCTTTATCACATAAACATAGATTTGTATTTTTAGTTTTTACTCAAAGAAACTCTAAATCCAGTTTTAGTTTCTATTATGAAAATTAAACTTTTAATTTTAGTTTGCGTTTGAAATCTTTTGTTTTATTTTGTACTCAAACCATCAAAGTATATACTTTTCAGTTTAATAAAATTATTAATTATTTACTACATTATAAATACTATATTATATTATTTTCGTTTCTTAGGAAATAGCATACTCATAGATAAAGCATGATTCACAAGGTTTAACCGCTGAAATAAGTCGATTGATGAATAATAATTCACAGTTATAAATCTCTATTTGAGACTAAAATAACTCATAATTTTTCAGGAAATATATAGTACTTGAACTCAATACTATTGGCATCGTATTTTCTATGTATTACCTATGTTATTTTTTCATGATACTTTTAACCAACTATATAATGTATAATAATATTATAAACGTTCTTCAGCATAATACTTATGTTATTGTTTTTCGAAAATATATAATTACGATTTTCCATAAAATGTATTTATGTTATTCATATCAGTTTTAATAGCTTTCGAAAGTTGTACATTACCTATATGTATAGCACATATCATATTAATATGGAATTAGTTTTAAAATATTATTTCATTTTTATCTCATTAAAGTGTGGAGACAAATATTGTAAGGACTGAAGTCGCAGAACCATCACTGAATCCCATATGGAATACCACGCTTGAAATGCCAAATGTTCGTTCTGAGACACTAATCGAAAAGCAAATGGAAGTCATACTTTACGATTACAGACCAGACAAAGAGGACGTAATATTGGGTAACTTTTATGAATAAAAAAAAAATTTTAAATCGATTCAATAAAACATAGTTTCTATTTATCTGACTTGTTCGTTATTTTTACAGGCGAGTTTGTAGTCAATTTACAAAATGCACTTTTAGACAACGCAATGATTTGGTATGAATTGGAGTCACCGAATCATAGCAAAGCCTCTAAATCACCAAGAAGTTCAATTTCCGAAACTGGGAAAGGAGGATTAAGGGGTCAAATCCGTTCAGTATCTGGTACATATTATTAAATTATGTCAATGATCATTTTATCGACTTATCCTAACATCATACTAAAACCACATGGATTTGCAGAAGAACGTGAGCTCGATGGATTCTTGCATCCAGATCACGCGTATATGGCGAACTCTCGACGAGGGTCCAGCCAGTCTGAGCAGTTGGACGTTGAACCATATCAATTGAATAAGGATTTCTCTCGGTCGTTACCTGGATCTCGTCGTAGTTCATTCCAATCAATACAAAACACCGACAAGGGTAAGTTTTTGTTCTCGTTGTTTTTCCTCTCAGCTTACATGTCTTTGATATTACGCAGATCCTGAGCTAACGACCACTCCCTACACGAACAGGAGTCGACGCAGGAGTTCATGTACCCCCCGACAAGACCCAGACGAGATCCTCAAAAATTTGAAAGCCGTAAAAGGAGAGTTACTTGGTCGAAGTATGAGCATTTGTGGTGATAAGAGAGGAATGCGAAGTAATTGCTTTAATTATAACTATGCCTATTACATTATCAAAATAATACATTTATATATCATAATATTATATTGGTTTGCTATAAGAAAATATCACATTGTATTTTTGTCAAAGGGGGTAGCCTATGTATGCGACCACACAAAGAGTCTGTTATGGAAAAACCCGAACCAACGTCTAAATACGAAGACGAACCAGTTGGGTGAGTAATTAATACAATGTACAAACAATTCAAAGCATATTATGTGGCATACGATTATAAAGTAACATTTGTATTTGAATTTCAGTGACCCTATTCGATTGGGTCCGGGCCAAATTATGCCACGTGGATACGGCATAAGTTCAGGTAACGCTTTGCAAATGAGTGGTCGTGTATTACCTATACTAATGAATTAAATATGAATAACGATTAACGGTGTTAATATAGGTTGTCATATTGAACTTAAACTAGGATTACTAATGACCAAAGGTCAGCTCGAAGTTGACGTTGTGTGTGCGCGAGGAATTAGAGCCGAAGATTCGCCACCAGGTAAATACGAAATAATGATATTAGTTTTATTCGAGTGAACAAGACCCTTTTGCTCAAAAATTTACTTGCTCTTTTCAGCCAAATAATTTAAAATTGTTTTCCCTTTTCACTCAAAAATATTATACCCGTTTTTAATTCAAGTTTTTATAATCAAGACTTAAAGAAACACTTACTTTGCATTTTTTATTTTGTATAAATTAGTTTTATAAAACCATTAAGGTTTACTGAGATAGTACCACAAAGGTACTATCTCTAAAATGTTTTTGCTGATTAAAAAAAAAAATGTTATATTTTTTCAAATTATTATTAGTTGATATTAGTTGATCTGAATTAGTAAATTAACAAGCAATTTGGAATAATTAAATTACATTTATTTAATAATGGACTATGGCATAGCAATTAATTTCTCCTATGATATTTTGTTAGATTTTTGCTAATTACTTCCTTAAACTTTCTAGTGTTTAATTTACTGTGAAAATAGACAAATAATTTATAAATAATAAATTAGCCTTTTATTTATTGGTGCCGGGCCAAAAATAAGACGTTTTATTGGACAAAGTCTATACCATCTATAATATACCGAGTATAACAAACATAGAATACGGTGTATAACATTCCGAGTAGTGTTCAAACATTTCTAAAGTTAATGGTAAACGACTTCATAAAACTAATAATTTAAAGAAAGTGTTTCCCAAAGTCTTGATAATGGAATCGTGGAAAAAAGGTTATAATGTGCATAGAGAGAAAACAATTTTAAAATATTTGGTCGAAAAGAACGTGGGTGAAAAGGGAAAGGTCATTTTTGTGCGAAAAGAAACCCATTGCGTTCGCGGACTATTCGATGCAATACCTTATATTACGTATTATATTGTCTACCTCAGCGATTCTCAGACTTTTTCGTTCATGGAGCCTTTAAGTTGCTATAAAAATTGTAAGACAACCCAAAAACCAGGAATATCACTTTCAAACGAAAAAAATATATAAATCATGATCATCATTACAATGCAACTAATGATATTGAATTTGGATGACGGTCCATATTATAGATCACATAGATCTGGATAAGATAAATTTAATGTGTAAATAACACATGAAAACAAAAACATAAATCCAAAACAATATTATGTCTGCTTAAGACTGGGTTCACATTTAACTCCATTAAAGTCTACATATTGTGTTTATTAGAGGTAGGTATTCAACTATAATGCACACGTGGTAATAACTAATAATAATAAATTGTAAAAGCATTTCCCTTGTGGGCGGGACTACGTAAAGAACAACAACAAAATAGGTTGGTACGCTAAAAGCATACGCGGGTGCATTTATATATACACAGCAGTACACTAAAATCACACTTAGAAGTTTTAAAATTTAAATTTTCACTTAATTATTCAACGTATTTTAAGAACATCACCATCATAATAATATGTACGTAGATCGTAAGTGTGTACTGAACAGACTCGTTTAACTATGAGCTTAGTATGCCAGTATGGACGAAAATTCGTTTCAATTGTATAGAATTGTAGATGGTTGTTTTAAACACAAACGTGGTACGTTCGGAGGACAATTTGAAATACACTTGCTAGAAGATCCTATTTGGTTGTAAAACATTATAGTGCTGATACAAAATATTTTTTAGGCGAATGTGTCACATTTATTTTTGTGATGTTATATTGTATTTTGAAAGCTATGATAAATGATTGTAGCGTTCAAAGCCAATAAATCATTTAGCCAATACAATCTCCTATTCCATTGGTTTTTTTTTTATTCTATACTTGATAACCTAACCTAACCTTGATAATTTTAAATGTAATGCTTCATTGTTTCAACATCTTATTGATTCAATATTGTCATTACACTCTACTTTTTAGTCTTGTACATTTAATTGTTTATTATTTTTGGAATTGTACATTATTATCATACTTGTATATATTTTGGTTGTTTTTTTTTTGTTGTTATATAATTATAGTATTTAGGGATATTGCTAGTTTATCACACAATAAATAGTTGTGAAAGAAAAGAATCATAGTTATTAAAACTACGCTGTCTGAAGTTTTTTCTTAATTTCTTTAACACTTTTGTGTGGTTTTTCTTTGGGTGGGGAAAACCAAATAATGAACTATTCAAATAAACATTAACAAACATTTTAGACTTAGTATCTTAGTATAAGTGTGCATACTGCATAGAAAAGAAATATACAAATGAAATTATATCTTTTAGAACCATTGACGTATTGGTTACATCTTAGTATTTACTGGTATTATAATCTAGAAAAAATATTGTCCAGGATTTTCTCCACGATAAAGTAATAAAAATTTAAATAATATATTTTAATACTTGATAACAAGAACAAATAATGATATCTGAAAAGTTTTAAATAATGTTTAATTGATTTTCATTCCAAAATATTTAAAAATAATAACATTTGCATTTATCATCACTTAATTTTCAGCACTAATCTACTAACTACTATCAAAAACTATTTTTCTTGAAAAAAAGACAGAGAACACTAAGTATTTGAAAAAAATTTTGTAGAGTATAAAATATAATTTATACATTATCATAAAAATATAAGACTCCTTCGAGTCCATTCTTGAAATTTAAAAGCTATATTCTCGTATTTATTTCTTATTATTATTTTTTTTTTAATGTTTTATTTATGGCGTATACCGATTACTTTTATGTACATAATTCCATGCTAAAATATTGATATGATGATATCCATACAAAAAATAAAATAGTTTATCCTGTCTTTTATTTCTTTAAGAGAAAGATGTCTTACAAATGTACAACATAACAAATTTGTATTCAGCAGATCCAACATTATCCTTGTAGTAAGCATTAATAATAGAGTGAATTAACCTCTAACTCATAATTAAGAACGTTATCTTGGTATTCTTGTGTTTTTTACGATGTTTTAATTTCAAACCAAGTCATGAGTATGTGAAGTATTATAGTTTAAAAATAATCATCTTTTTAAAAATTTAAGTATCCTAAAAAACACGAAAAACCACAGATAATATCTTATCTTCAAGTTAGATAATAAATAAATTCTCTCTAATATTCATATGTTTCTATTTAAAATTATTAATTTGGATTTCGATGTTTAATGGATAATATCAATTTCCTTGACCCTCCGAGCAACCTTCACCATTTCTATTCCTCTATTTCAATTTGTCAAACACTTTATTTAAAAAAAAAATTCATTGTAGATGATTATGAAGCTGGTCAACGAGGACTCATTATATTCATGTTCTGAAATTATTATTTTATTATATTTATATAATAAATGTATTGTAATTCTATTTTTTTTTCAGTGCCATTATTAGTATTTCCTATTTTAATTTGTTAATAAATATTTGCTTGTCTGCTTTAGTATTTTCATATTTGAAGTGGGGCAACCCATATATACTATTAATAAATAAATAAACAATTATTAAATACTTCAGTATAACATAACATAAAAGATATTTAAGATACTTAAAAAATTAAGTTCTTTGAAAATTATTGAAATACATAGATACGGCATTTCGTTAATATGAGTAGCATTTTAAACTTTAATTTTTACTATGTTTTAGATAAAATAAACTAATTTATGAAAAATAATAAATTACAGGAACCTTTTTTAGTATTCAAATTTTAAATACATCTTATTTTTAACTATACGTCTTCAAAAAGCCAACTTTGAGTTTTTTTCCTCATGCATAATGCAACCTTAAAAATACATAAATTGAATATAATTTCTACAAATAGAAAAAAGTAAAATATAATAGTATTAACATTTCTGAAAAATATTCATGTTGCGTTATAGCGTGAAATCTGCAATTTTATATTAACACAATATATAATATTCGATTCGATTCAAACCGGTAACATTGAGATAACAGTTTTTTTCCGTCTATTTAAATAATATGTCTGACCTGAATTTGACGTCTTGAATAATCTATTTTTTGTTGTTTGTGTTTAGATACTTACGTGAAAACGTATCTTCGAGAAAACGACCGCTGGTTGCAGAAACGTAAGACACGCGTGGTCCGACACAACTGCAATCCGGAATACAACCAAACACTTCGATATTCTGCGTGCGATGTGTTGGGCAGGTCACTGTTGGTAATGCTTTGGGAGAGGCAAAAGGGCTTTGAGCACAACCAAGGATTGGGAGGGGCTGAAGTCACGCTCGACGCTCTGAAGCTGACACAGGTCACCGAAGGATGGTATCCGCTTTTCCCTATACAGAGTTTAGGCTCAGACTCCAACGACTCTCCGTGACGTCATGCCATGAAATGTCATTTGTAATTAATATCAATTCCACGGAAGCCACCCCCACCTCCAAGCACTGATATCTTGGGAAATGTAATTACGTATGAACTGTGTTCTCTATATTTTTTTGTTTACCATAATACTATTGTGATCCTGCAATGTACATTTCGTACCTACCCATTATTTAGCTCCAAAAACTTATTATATGATATCATTGAACTCATAACTGTAAAAATATCGAAAGTAGATATATTTAAAAAACTGCAAACTGTATGATAAAAACAATTTTTTTCTACATTTCGTCTCAAAGTAGGGATAAAAATCGTTTTCTTTATAATAATTTTCGAATTTTAATTTTTATAGTTTCTAACATAAACTATTATAAAAAGTATTTTAATATTTTTTCAATTTTACTGAACTTTCAACATATCCATCACTAATCGAAGGGCAATCGACGTTAAAACATTGTTCAAACTACTTATATATAAAATATTATTATAAATTATGTGAAATTTTAATTTTCAATAAATATTTATTTAAAAAAAAATAGTAATGAAATTGACATTTAACCAACTATTACGTTTGGTAATTATAATACTATAATAATCAAAACCGATATTCGAAATTACCTAATATTTCATTATAAATTACACACTACGCGATATAGAAAAATAAGTTTAGTCGTCAAGTGAACTAATTAAAAATACATAAACACGTTAGCATACATGATATTGTTGATTATTATACCTGTATTCATAATCTTAGCAAAATAATACCACGTAGACATATAAATATTTAAATAAAACGAATATGCTTTATTTATAGATCATTTTTCAACAGATTATTATTTAAAATGTACATTCCTTTCATACCGATTAAAATATTGAAAATTTAGTTGTTTCTAATATATGTATATACTATAATATATACTATAACATACATAATATAATTAGATTAGAACCTATATAATATTTAAAAACACACAGATATTCATACTAATAACTGAATATTTTTAATTAATAGTTTGAAGTATAAAATCTGATGAAAATACGATTTACTTCATTAATAATTTATTTTTAATTGTCAATGGTGTTTTAAATGTTCTTTATTGTTCGAAAAACTATGATTTATTGCATTATAATGTACAAAATTATATAAAGAATGAATGATAGACATTTTATTTGGATACAATATAAAAATAATAACTCAATCGTTTATGAGCTATTTGATCCATAATATAAATATGGGACCATTTATTAGAAACAAAATGGTTAGGTTAAGGCACATTTGAATAGCTCTAAATGGTTAAAATAATTATTATAATCATTGAACAAAGTAATATTAGAATAATGTTATATTTATGGTTCGTACTAGTTGTGATATGAACGTACTAGTGAAAAGAAATGTATGTTAACGGTTAATAATGATGTAATTAATCGAATAATACATTTATTCATAGCAAGTGTATATTTCAGAAATCTTAAAGTTTATATATTTATACGTATTTTTACTTGTGTACTTAATTTTTTAGTTGATATTATCATTACTTCGATTGATTTTTTTTATCTATTGGAATTGTTATGCTGTTATATAAAGAATTATTTAAGTACTTTCGATAATTATTTTCTAAGTTATGTTTATAAACTTTTTACTGGTTGTATAACTGAACGTTATGTTTTCTTGAAAATTATCTTATTTATATTTGAGTTGTTAAATTAAGTTAACATTTGCCGAGTTTAAAATGTTTGTTTTCAATTCACGTGGAGTTATGAGGATATTTTACCAAAAAGTAAAATTTAAATTAAGTTAGGCATACTATTATAGCGACACGATGTAAAATAAGTCGTATATTAATTATTGACTGTCTAGTAAAACGATTTTATTGAGACAATCGCATATACATACGTAATTATTATTGATAAAATATTTAGAATAATACAGTATATCCATAATATAGGTATGATACAAATTATTATTGTAACGTAACTATGAAAATCACAACATTAATATTGTATAAATCTCTGACGTAGATTCTTAGTACTTATACGTACTTAAGTGTTTTATATAATTACATGCATTTAGAGTCAATACGATTTTCGATGTATGAATACTATAATAATATTAATGTGGCTTTTTGACACGGTGGAAAAACACTTAATTAATTTCGACCGGAAATTGCCTGACAGGATATTATAACCACTGACTTATTAAGTAAGCACTATATTGTTCAATAATATTGTTTCAGTCAGTCTGCTGTGTTTGACCGCCATCATATTAGTATAATGATCAGATAATAGTAATTAATATTCAAATATATAGGTAATAATAATATTATATCCATAGCTCGAGTACGGTTTTGTTTTTATTGTATAAATGTTTTAAGGGAAAAAAATTCGTGATTCCTACTTGTTAACACCGGTCTTAGTTCCATTTTACCAAACTAATAATTTGTATTTTTAGTTATGTTTCGAAAGTTACCATTCGATTATATTTATGTCACAGTTTTGAATATGTTCGTTATTCAATAGTGACTTTTTATCATTATTATTTAACTTTTTAATGTTTATTATGTTTTGATATTTTGTTAAATAGATTTGTTCATATTATTGTATAATTAAATTCATGACAATCTTTATTCGAAACTATTGAATCACATGTAGGAATTTAAAAAAAGATATCGGACCTATGATAATATAATATATATATTTATTTAAAAATATGTATAATAGCGTAAATGTTAGCTGTTAGAAAAAACAAATATTTATCAATTATAATAAACATGTTTTAAACAACAATATTGTTTGTTGTTTGTGTTATTATCATTAAATATATACGATTATCCAACTTCTTTCCTGTTTTATAGATACATAAAATAATTTAAAAAATAGCTAACCATATTTTACTAGTATTATAAAAAAAAATTGAAAATTGTGTGCATGCAGAGGATAATTACTGAAGCGATTCTAAAACTACATTCGCTAATACAAAGCTACACCATCCTTGAACATCATAGTTACAAAGTAAATCATGGAATTCAACCACTAAATGTTGGTTCATACGTTTAATATTTCCTTTTGGTTAACGAAAATCGAATAGTGTTGTATGTATAGGGTTTATATTGGTTATATATTTTTACAGGAAAATTTAAATAATTGTTTTGATTGGTTATCATTTTTTTTTTTGGTGATTTGATATACTTTCTTTTGTTTAAATTTAAATCGCATTTCAGAAATTCAAAGCTCTCAAATCGTGTACGTTGTTATAGTTGAGTGTACACATAAAATGTAACATTGCATGAAATACTCGAAGATACATGTATGACTGTTTGTTCGCGGGTTCTGTACCATGACATTATGTAATGGGAAATAGGAAAATGATTAGATGGATAAGTTTTAACCCGGGCGGTCAGTGAGGCTGTAGCTTAATGGTTAAAAAAATAAGTACCTACTCGACTGATTTTGTCAAAAATGTCAGAGATTGTTCTTAGAGATATCAGAAAAGTTTTTAGTGCAGCTTTGAGTTTAAACTTGGTTCGAAAGTGCTATAATATAATATGGCCTATATCCAATCCAATACTTGCGGATTACTGATCTCAGTCTAAATAGTTCACAAAGAGAATTACACCGCGGCCGGTTTGCACTACCTTTTATTGTTGGGATACACCGATATAGCATCGTATATTAAATTTGTTCATTTTTTCACGACTGAAGTCGGGTTATACGCAGCTGGTATTATGAATAAACTTGTAACAAGTCTTACTAGTAACTTGTCTGATTATAAATTTCAACGTTTTCGTTATATTGGATAATTATAATAACGAGTCATTTTAGTAAGATTTATTACAATTGTATTCATCCGTCTATTAATGTAAGGTCTGTCTCAGTGGTCTAATTATGGGCACGTCGTATTGTGTACAAAAATCGATTCCGAGCGGAAACAGTATGTTATGTAATTTATTATTTATTTTAGTATTACGCTGTAGATTGAACTAATTAAAAACAAAACAAAAAACTAATGGTGTAAACACAATAAACTTAATAGTAATATTTTGTTATAATTCGCGCAGGGACTGCATAACTGCTCCGAATATAACCGTTTATAAAATCGGTAACCTTGTGTTAATTATTAACCGGAACCTAAACCATAACCATTTTTTATGTGCTTAAAAAACCAATCTAAAACCCAAACCTAATTTATAATAAAGGTTATAAGTTATAACTTTTTATTTATGAATAAATTGATTAAATCAATTATGAATACGCTGATTGTGCGACGGTTTTTCGACATTATATTATAATACATAGCCCATAGTCTATATGGGATATTTGTTGTACTAGTTCTACACTTCTACATCAATCCCGACTTAACGTAGAACCCTGCGAAAACGATCTTGGTATAAATAGCTTTTTTTAAATACTATACAAATTAACTAAAATCGTTTGATTTTTTTATGAATTTAACCACAGGCTGTAGAATAATGATGTTAATTATAATTTATTATTCGTATATTAAAAATATCAACTAGTGTATACCAATTGTACACATCCACACACAGACGCACATGTATCCAACACAATATTTAGCATTTATTTTTGTCATCACATTGAAGTGAGTGTACATTTTTATTCAAAAGTATAAGCTCACATATCTCAGTGTGTACCCGATCATTGGCCATCTCCTATTCTTAAAAGCATCCAAAATATAGTTATCTGTTATTGGCTATTTTATTGTGTTCAATGTATCATATGCGTAATCTCTTATGGCAAATCTGAAAATGGCCTAAGACGATTTAGATATACTCTACCACTAGAGTGTGTCACTTCTCACTAAGATAATTTTGTTATGTCTATACTTCACAACTTCGTCGAGTACCTCTGTGGAGTATAAACTATATATTATTACAGCGTTGTACATTTATTCGTCATTGACATATTTCACAATGTACATAAAAATAATTACTGTAAAACTGTAGTTCAAGCAGAATTACTACCGACATTTACATAGTATCACTAAAATCATAAAATTATTCTCCCCAATATTATTGTTAGAAATTATATTTAATCAAACTAGCGCTACAGTGTGGTAAAATACATTACTTTTTTAGTATTTGGTTATTTCACTTGTACACTAGAGAGCATCGTTCGGCTTTTTGCATCGAATATAATATATTAAAACATTTATTTATTAACCTTCCGAATGCATTTCTTTAATCTTATTATAATACTAATAATGTGATAGATTTTTGTAAGATATATCAAAAATAGTACAATATATACATACATTTTATAAGGTCCAGTATTATTGATATAAAAAATATTATTGACTGTCAAAAACCCTTCAATTACATTTTATTATAATAATATTATAATAGTTCGATAAAGTCAAAACGAATTTATTATTTAGATTTACAGCTGAACGATGAATGTGTTAGTTCTACAACGATGTGATTTTGTATGTCATTTTAATTGTTGTGTCTATCGTCACATTTTGGAAAAACGCTTCGATTTCAATTTGGGGGGGGGGGGGTGGTTCTTGTTAACACATTAGATTTATGATAATATTGAAATACAAAATATTGAAGAGGTCAATGTAAAAATATGCCCAGGGTATTTTCACATAAAAATAATTGGTAAAAACAAAATAAAACAAATTGTGAAAAAAAATTTTTACACAAAACCAGATTTCGTCAAAATGTATTTTATTTTTTTGTTCTAATTATTAAATTAATTGTTGTAGGGATGTAAATTACCATTTAATGACATGATATAATTTCAAAATATATTGGCCCTTTTTTAATTTATTTTTTAATATTTTATGTACCTAGTAGACAGTACATATGATAGACGAGCGCATGTTACCATATTCTCCATCACACATTATTGTATTTTATGTGATATAATATAA